AAAGAACACTATGACTGAGGAAAGCACCATGCTCAGTGACTGCAGTTTTAAAGGCACAAAAAGGCAAGAATTTAGTCAAGAAACTGAAAGGATGAAGATGAATGGAGCATATCACGTTTTAAGTGGCTTACCCCACCCATCCTGCCTGTTCTCTAATTTTCTCTTAGAAATGAACATTTTCTGCACCATGTGGTATCTGACATTCTCACTCTTCCTGTTTACCTGCCAATCGCCCTTACTTCTATTATACCACAGTTCTAGGATGTCTTTCTCGATTTACACATTCTTCTTTTCCTCCTCTCCTACCATCCTCCCTTCTCCCATTTCCCCCAACCAACTCCTCAAGTCATACTTCTCTACGTAATGTGCAATTCTCTACTGAACTCTCGTGTTTAGAAATCCTCTCTAGTGGACTGTCATGCTTATAGGCCTCATTTTTCCTATTCCTACCTCCTGCGCTGCTAAAAAAGGAATTATAGTAGATTGATTGACTCATGTTATCTGAGGCAGGTATTTAGTATTTTCACTATAGTTTCATATTATTTGTATAATTCACTTAGCTAGGGAGGCCTAATCTTACCTATAATGTCAGCAGAGAATAGGCATGTACCTTATAAGGGCTGGGAGATGCAGCTGGACCAGGTTAGAACCCTGGGAAGCTCAGCTTACCTGAAAGGGTCTCCCACTTGCTGTTCTCCTCCTCTCCCTTTTGTAGGTCATGAAAGAGTAATATGTCCTTAGAGAGAAGGTCCCGACATAGAACCTTACAGTAGAGGGGGTTTCCCAAGCACCTGCGAAGAAGGTAGCTGTAGAGAGGGAAGTACGGGATTGCTAACTAAAGATGCCCATTGAAGAGAGCCACACATAAGGGTATTTCATGATAGGAATATTTCTTCTTTTGTTGAAGTCAGCTTTCAATATACAGTAACAGAGGGAAGCAACAACCCAGAAAAGTAAACAAAATTCTGATTGGCAGTAGCTTTTCTATTTTAACTATTTAGCTTCTATTGATGTTAAAAGGAACTAATGTTCCCTTGCTAAATGGCCTGGCAGAAACTGGCCTGACCACATATAACTGACGCATTAAGTAAGCCATCCAAGTCCTACCTGTCCTGTGAAAACCTGGTGGGTAGCCCAGAGAAGTAGCCCTTACTGGTTTATAGGACTGTCTACCCTTATATCTAGTTTTGGGTCTCATCATGGTTACTAATGCCATCCCTCCCTTCATGAAGTGCCCAGCTAGTCCCAGCCACTCACATCTGCAGCTCTTGGGGGATGCTCACCGCCCCTAGTTCCCAACATGCCATTTTCAATAGTGAGTTTGCTGCTAACTTCGAAATGGGCTTCAGCATAGCCTGAGGGCTCTGCAGGACGTGCTGGGCTCCACCACACAGGGTGGAGGTAGGCATCAATGTCATCGCCATGATGACGGGCACACTGGAGAGTAATGTTCCCAAAAACTCCCAGGAAGCTGCATCCATATGCTGGGCCTCGTCAATGAGGAAAATCAGTGGTGTTTCCCTCACTGCCTGGAAATAACAGCAAAGAGACAATGACAACATCTGATTAGAAATGAAGTCACCTGACTTGCAAATCTACCATGAATTTCTCATCAATAATTTAAATAAAATGTCAACAGAGCGGGGTTTTCAGAGTAAAATGTAACAAGTCCAGGTAGTATTTTACTTTATAAATACAAAATGTAGCCTGTATATCTAACTTCTAAAGAAATGTACTGAGTTTCTTTGGACAAGAAAATACTCTAACAAAAAAATAAACAAAAATATTCTCCAAATGAAACTTAAAGCTTTCAAATATTTCCTTGTGCAAAGGGAATTCATAATTCTTTAAACTAGTCATTTCCAAACCAGGCTGCAAATCAGAATTTCCTGGGAGTGCTTGCTAAAACTACTAATTTCTAAGCCCCACTCATGTAGACTTAAAAAATGTACTTGGTTTTATCCACATTCCCCACTGCCACATGAAACTATTTTAATGTTGTCCTTGTAAATGTGCATACTTGTTTTGCCAAGAATATTGTTTTTATATAAATGGCACTATAGTACAGATTCATTGTTTCTCTTTGTTAAGGACTGTTTTTAAGATCACTCTGTGTCGCTATGTTTTCATCTCTTCCCTTACTTCTAACTTCCGCAATATAGTCCACGGTGTTCATCTCTGAGTTCATGCCAATGTCTTCTTAGCCTCTACAAACAAACACTGCAATAAACAGACTCCCTGGGATATGAATCCAGGAGTGGAATTGCTGGGTCTAGAGAATGCATGTTCTTAAAATTTGACTTGTTACTTCTAGATTGCTTTCCGGAATGGCTATATCACAGTTTTTGCTCTTATAGATTCTGTAATTTTGGGTACGAGGTCTAAGTATCTGTATTTTTAATAGCTATGCACCTGCATTTACAACCCACTGTTTTAAATCAAATTGTTAAAATTTCATTAAGAAACAGGAACAGAAAGAAGCGAAGACCTGTATTGTACGCTGTGCTATATGATGGATTCAAGGTTAAAAATAGATACAATGAAGATATCTTTCAAGAAGGCTAAGAAATGTCTAAGTCAAGGTGTGAGATGCCTAGATTAAAATGAACATAAACCACCCTAACCGGTTTGGCTCAGTGGATAGAGCATTAGCCTTCGGACTGAAGGGTCCCAGGTTCAATTCCAGTCAAGGGCATGTACCTTGGTTGAGGGCACATCCCTGGTGGGGGGTGTGCAGGAGGCAGCTGATTGATGTTTCTCTCTCATCGATGTTTCTAACTCTCTATTCCTCTCCCTTCCTCTCTGTAAAAAAATCAATAAAAATATTTTTAAAATTCATTAAAAAAATAAAATGAGCATAAGCCATCTCCACATATTAAGAGTTAATGGTATGTAGCAAAAGTACCCACCTCCTGTAGCACTTGAAAAAAACACTCTTTAATCTTCTTTTGTCTGGCCAGGTCATCCATGTGTGAAACTTTGAAGGATAAGGGAAACTGAGCAGAAAAATTACTCATATATTAGCATTCAAAGTGACAATCTAATAAAAATATACAGATTCTCAAAAGGGAATCAAAAATTATTCTATTTTGAGTGAGAATGGGCTTATACAGTATTGAGCATAGTGTTACAAACATCAATATATAGTTCAGAGGGTACATTGGTAGTTAGAGAGAGAGAGATCCTTTTCATACTAGGCTCTGGCAAACTCTTAAAGGGTCATGACTAAGGAATAAAATGACAGGTAGTACAGCTCCAGTACCCGTTATTCCAAGCATACCAGGTTAATGTGTGCATGAGACTTGTCAGAAACAACTGCAATAGACATCACCTAACATTGTTTCCTGTGCAAGGCCAAGGCACATTAGTTACCATGGGTCTGAGAACCAAAGTGAGGCTACTCCTTAACCACTTTGGCAGGACCAGAGCCAGAGTCCTGGGCAAGGCTTGTCTTAAGACAGGGCTATACTGAGGGATTGAACAGATTTTAGTTTTCTCTGTTTTCCATTAAATATATGCCTTGCAAGCTGGGTAGATTAGAAAAAGTGATGGAGGATGAAGAAATAGAATGTGGACCAGGGAATTCTTAGCCTACACTCTATTGGGTACCACATGCACCCTGGAGCACTGGAAGCCTTTGAGATTCAGATGCTGGTTCAAGTGACATCCTCCATGGCCAACGAATGGAAAGGTAGGCTTAAAGAGCAACACTTGCAAACTGACTAGAGAAGACATGGATACAACTGCAAGGGATGCTCAACTGGTCAGGATCATCTTGATGGATTTAGCACTTTCACTCTTACAATGCAACCTCTTATATACCATCTCCTTTAAAATCCATGCAAAAAACCTGTAAGTACGGAACTCATTTTCACATGTAAAAAAACTGAAGCTCAGTTAGGCTAAGTGATTTGTGCCAGGACATACAACTAGCAAGTGTCAGAGTCAATCCTAGAATTCACTCTCCTCAAAAAGGAGAAAGCCGGGGTTTTGCTGTCAAAGTGTTTCAAACCTCACTTCCACCATTGCTAACTATGTGTTCTTAGCCCATATCCAATATAATAAAAGCCTAGTATGCTAAGTGTCCAGTTGTTCATTCAACCAATCAAAGAATAATATGCTAATGATATGCTAAGGCTGCTCAAACACCCACTGTGACGTGCACTGACCACCAGAGGGCAGACGCTCTGATTGGTAGGTTAGCTTGCTGCTGGGGTCCAGCTGATCAGGACAGAGCCAGATGGGCCAGATACACCGTGGAACCCTCCTGAGGTCCCTCCCTGGCTGGTCAACCTCCCGCACTCCACCCTGGCCTCAATCATGCACCAGTGTGGTCCCTCGGCCTGGCCTGTACCCTCTCGCGATCCGGGGCCCCTTGGAGAGCCAGTTTCGGCCCAATCCTGCAGGCCAGGCCAAGGGACCCCAATGGTGCATGAATTCATGCACTGAGCTTCATAGTATATATATATATAACATCAGTAATCCAATTCAGAAAGCCACTGCCTTCCTTACCTTTACAAAGAAGAGGTCATTAAAAAGGCAGTGAAGTGGTTCCTCCACTTTCCCACAAAGCTGTTTATGTAGGCACTCTTGCCGGTAAAAGGCTGGGCATGTATCAATTTCAAAGAAGATGGCCATGAGGGTCTGGATGGCATAGAAGTGTTGCTTGGAATCTGCTTCCTTCAGCTTCAATGACAACACCCTGGGGAATGTTACTATGGTCACGGGAAGGCCGTTGACCCATGGAGAGGTTACTCACTCTACCAGCCCAAGGATGCGCGATCTAATGATACAAGAGTCTCACCAACAAAGGAAAGGAGCCCCAAGAGAAGCACATGTCCAGTCAGAAAGCAGGTGTCTTTACCTGTGCTCTTCTTTCTGGGCCAGCAAGTTTATTTCAGCCAACAGCTGACTTTTTCCATAGCCCTTTCCACCTTCATACAGAACTGCTTGTCCCTTCTTCTGGTGCAAACATCCCTGCTGTGTCTTTTGGAAGGCTTCTAGTTCTTTCTCCCGGTCTGTAGAGAGATAAGGGAGCACCTAACACTCCTGTGCTTTTTAGTAGACTCCATTTATTTGAATTAATTTGAAAAATTAAGTCTCAGAATGCCATTTCTCCCCAAGAATTCTTGGCAGAATCCCATTCTTTGGTGAAGCTTCACATATCTTCCCAGAAAGTTAACTTTGGCCTCTACAGATGTGTGCTGGGCATGGTGGTTTGCTCCAGAGCCTAAGTAATGACATTCTGGACAACTAGGTACCACATGGATATGTCTTAGATTTTTGTAAAAATTTCTATAATAACAATTTTTAATCAAAGTCCGTCATTGCTATGTAAAGATAATGAACTATCTAATATATACAGATAAAAGAAATATAAAGATAGAGAATTTACAGTGTAAGTGGCAACAGTCTTGGTGCTATATTCACTGTCTAAGGATGAAGAATTTCCCTCTAAAGGTGAGCCACAACAAGCTGGTCAGATCTCAATAGCTGAACTCTGACTTACACAAATTCTTACTAAATGTTGGTACTTCTCAGGCCAAGTGATAGGACTCCCCCTGAAATTTAAACATTCAATGTGGAAAGGAAATGGCAAATCCTCTTCAAAACGAACATAAATATACTAAGAAGGCTGCTTTCTATTTTTGATACAACTGAGAAGCATTTAATCTTGAAATTTTTTAAATCATGATCACCATCTATAGCTGAAAAATATGTAATTTTAGAAAAGAAAACTCACCTAACAAAGGGTGATTTTTATTTCTCACTCTGATCAAATGTCTCTTCCCAAACATGCTAGGAAAACAAAGGGAAATGTTTCTATTAAAAATAGATTGGAATAGATAGATAATATACCTCCAATTAATAGAGGAAAAATTGTCCCCCTAAGTATTTTCAGATAACTCAAGAGATACAGAGTTCTGTAAAAAAGAGTTTTTTATAAATTAAAAAAATTTGGCAGAAGGGAGAAAGAAGTATTATTGATTGTTCTGGTTCAGGGAAGTATGAAGTACAGAAAGAAATAATAACATCTAGATTAATGACCTATTGCTATTCTCTTCCTGTTGGATAACAAGTTCACTGAGGAACTAGTGAAGAGTTAAACATAAAAGCTGAGGATCTCAGGAACAAAGCCCTTTTCTTATGTCTCTTATTTCAGCAGGCTGGTCCTAGAAACATCTTTCTTTCTAATGTCATACAATCAAACACTGATTACTCCTATGCCCTGATTCTGTAAAAGAGATGGGAATGAACTATTACACAATGACACTCACATACATCTTCTATGGCCAAGATATTCATACGTCTTCCCAGGGTTGGAGATGTTTTTCATCATTTTCTCGGGGAGTTTCTTGAAGTTGTAAGCAGGAAGCATGGATCTTAGATATGTTACCTCATCACAAGACACCAGACCTGGATAAGCAGTTATCATTCTGGCCACAAGGCTCACTTTTGGGCCAATAACTGTGTCAAGGGGACAGAAAAAAAAAGGATGCGGAATTCTTGGATCACCTCCTCCAGCTTTACCCCCTAAGTCAGAGAACTAACAGTCCAGTGTCCTATTCTACCTGTATATTCATGTCTTGCTACTGCCCCAACCACGCCACAGAATACTGGTCCATTGGTGATACTGATGGAAACAAGCCTGGGGATCAGAAAAGCAACAACACAGTCAGAAACCTCCAGGTCAGGCACTAGATTGGCCATTACTCAGATCCAGAGGCTAGTGCTAGAGCTCAGGATGAAAAAGGCCAGAGGCTGCTGTCAGTCTACATCACATGATGGGTACAAAATAATGAATATTAGGGAAATAACCAAGAGGAACAGAATGGCCCCCCTACTCCAGGTGTTTTACTTGGGGAGTAATTATTAGTAAAATGGCTAAAATACTTTATATCTGTCAGATACTTTATATATGCTTTTTGAAGTTCTTTCAAATTGACTACTTCATCTGATCCTTTAAGGGATAATGAACAACAAACATGTGAAGTATACAGGGCAAATACTTGGACCCGGATTGACCACCACCACCACCAACAACAACTAAAAGTGAATTCCCTTTCCCAGAGCTACACAGCAACAGTCAACAGCAGAATTAGAATGAGAACCCAGGCCTTCTGACTCCTAGACCAGTGTTATTTCCACTGTAACACACTGCCTCAGATAAAACCTGAAAGTTAAATAGATCAACTGATGTCAGAACTGGGTGAATGGATCAAATAATGCTAGAATGTCAGAGTAAAGTAATAACCAAAACATCAAGCTGCTGACGGAAGGCTTCCTGAAGCAAATTAGACTTTGGGATATACATTTTAAAAATAAGTAATATTTTTTTCATTCATTCATACATGAATACATTCATCCATTTAATAGGCATTGAGGAGTATGTACAGTATCAAGAATTGGGCTGGGTTTTTATACAATGCGGACCTGTACAAGAATACCCTTCCCTGGAAAAGTTCCATCTGAGGAGTAGAGTGATAGGGATCGAGGAAGGAGAAAAGACATAATTATAGGTTAACAAGACAAATACTACATATTAGAGATCAATACAGCAAATTAACAGAGCCAACAGAAGGGAAGCATTAACTGGAGAGTAAAAAAAATTATTTCATAAAGGAGAAGACATATGATTGGATCTTGAAAGTTGAAGTACTGCCAAAATGGGGCAGCAGCATTCTGTCTAGTGGAAAAAGCACAGTCTTCGAAGAATCTGGTGTGCTTCTGCAAAACTAAATAGTTCAAGAAGGCTAGAGTGTAATAGTTCGAGTAGAGAAAGGTGAAGGGAGAAGTGGTCCTGCCTAGTCGATGGATGGAAAAGTACTGGAAATATGAATTATGTTAAGAGAGTTATATACTGTTCTAGTGAGCAAAGGTTCAAAGGTGGCAATGAACAGAGAATAAGTAGATTTACTTAACTGACGTAAAAATTTCCTGTGAGAAATAACAAGATATGTGGATGGAGAAAGAGGGTTCAGTGAGCATAGTTTTAAGTTAAACCTACAAATAAACAATTTTCAGTTGTTCAAAGAACATGAATTGTAACAACAATCCTAACATTATTGTCTTCTGAGACATTAAAATTCTCTTGCAGAATTACCAGAATGACAGGAGTGAAGACTCTTACCATTCATTCACTGGGCCAACTGCCCAGGGTGAATAAAAGAGACACCCAAGACAAGAACTAGGCAGTTGGTTCTTCTGCCATAACAAGAATAAGACTAAAAATCTTATAATGTTTCATCATGCTTCTTTTGTTTAAAATGCCTTTCCCCACTTTCTCCACAGACTAAACTCCTTTTATTCTCAATCTGGCTCAAACTTATTTCTATAGTTATGACTTCTCTGGAATCTGTGGTGAGAATTAACTATTTCTTTCCATAGCACTTTGTTGCAGCTCCTACAGCATTTTATTCCTGCAGTTAAATTTCATTGCATTAAAGAGAGTGGTTTACTTAGCTGAGGAGGTAGTGCCCCATTTCTCTTTATGTCCATCAAACCTAGCACAATGAATGACTCATGGTCGTGTTCAACCAATGCTTGTTGAATGAATTTAGTTATGCATGCAAGAAACTCAGCTATTAACAAGACAATGATAATTAAACAAATAACACTTTTCTCCCTTGGTTACTTCTTATTTCTTTCTATTATACTTTATGAGCCCCTTTGTTCTTCCTGGAAGTCCATGTTCCTTCCTTCTTTTAAAAATGCTTTTGCCCTGCAGGTGTGGCTCAATGGTTGAGCATCAACCTATGAAATAGGAGGTCACGGTTCAATTCCTGGTCAGGACACATGCTCAGGTTGCAGGCTGGATTCCCAGTAGGGGGTGTGCAGGAGGCAGCAGATCAACGATTCTCGCTCATCATTGATGTTTCTATAGTTCTCTCCCTCTTCCTTTCTCTCTGAAATCAATAAAAGTATTTAAAAAAATAAAAGATAAAAATGTTCTTCATTGATGAAGAATATGTTCTTTCTTCAATATATAAATATATAGGTCAATGCAAAATTCAAGAGCAGAACAGACCAGCACTGGATGAGAAGGCCCAGCACACCCATAGTGGAGAAAAGATTTGAAAGCAGGCTGTGGAAGCATCTGTAGACGCCCTATGCCTGAAAGAAGTGCCAGCACATATCTATCCTGGGCTAAGAGTCAGAGTATATAAGAAGCAACTGTAGCATCTTTTATCTGTAAAATAAGGAGTAGGATTAGATAATGTAAATTTCAGTACTAACATTCTATGAGTATGCCTCTACAATTATATCATATTTGTAATATATGCTTACTTTTTTGGAGAGTATTTATATTTTATAAGAGGCAGTTGTGGGGTAATGAAAATGACAGAATTTGAGGACAGAAGATCTAGGTTTCATTACCAGATCTGCTATATGCTAATAATTTATCTTCTGTGGTCTTACTTTCCTCATGCATAAAGACACAGAAAATTTTCACACTGGTATCGTATATTACAGTATGCTATAAAATTTAAAGCATTGTATAAATATGTGACATAATTTTATTCATCTTGATTAAGTATGGCAAGCAAATCATCTTTGACTCAATGCTAACATTAGATATAACTATTTTTCAAATTGATTCATGTATACACTTTCCCCATAGTCTTCTAGTGGGGAAAACGATGTCATTTGAAAAATTCCAACCAACCTTGTCATAGTGCAACTATTGGGAAAATGGAATTTTCTATTAATTAGGACTAGGAGTTTATAGAAGGTGGGAAGGCGAGGTGAATGTAGAGGAGGGTGATCATACCAGTGTGAATTCCAGAACACTTAGTGGGTCTGGGAAAGACTAAGAGTGAAAGCCAGAAGGAGAGCATTAACCAGCTGTGGTTACTTCCCCTCCCTAATAGGTATATAGACAACCTTTGTTCTGCATTCCCTCCACATACATATATACTATTTGTATTATATTAATGTACACATTTGCAGTGTTCTTCAGTTTTGCTATGTGCATTCTGTTCCTCCCCCTCTCACACCCCATTGGATAGAAATTTATCTTCATTTGCTCTGGGTATCTAAGACACTGTTCTATAACTAGTGATTTCTTAACGAATTTTGTTTTCTGACTTCCCTTAGCATGTTCCCTCCCCATTAGGAAGATTCTGGATGTCCTCAAACCCTGCTACTGGTCACAGCCTCCTACCATGCCCGAAGAGCCCCTGAGGCCTGAGGAGCTCCTCTCTGCCCCACCTTCCTCCTCACTTGGTCTCAGTAAGATTCTCCCAGCAGAAGTTGAAGATGCTGACAGAGCTTTCCAGGGCATGTGCACACTCATCTGGCTTCTTATCCCCAGGAAGGCCAAACACACAGAGGAACATGCAGCCCTGGGACAGAACAAGAAAGAAGAGAGCTTATCTGGGGAAGGAATATGGCTTGCTGCAAATGAACCAACTCCCCTGAATGAAGCCAGATCCTTTCTGGTCTTCTGTTAGGAATATAGGATTCTATAAGATTCATGAAATGAATGCTCTAGGCCACACCAACATAGAGATTTAAGAAGAAGAAATAAAATCTTAATTTAACTATCCAAAGAATTAAAATTTAAAACTTAAGGAAATTTAATGGCAAGCACTTCAAAAATTCAATCTCTAGTGCATACTTCAAGCTAAATCTATGTGCTTCCATTTTCTTCACCTCTAATGTCAAGTATTGGAACTACTCTTATTCAAGCTCCTTAATTATCTAAGAAAGATCTGATTACATTTACTCTACTAGTAGAGTCAGAAGAACATTCTTTATGCTTTCACAAGGATTTTTCAACAAGAATTAAATCAAAAAGGATATAGAGAGTAACCCTTGATTTCTTTGACAATTAACTAGAACATTCCATTCCTTGACTAATACTAGTTGAAGTTTTAATGTAAAATAGCATGTTGCAAAATAAGTAGCAGGATATATGACTTATGCCTGTGTTATGTGAGAGGCAATTATTTTTCACTCCCCTTTAATGCTTATGGCTCAGGTCCCCTTGTACTTACTTTCTCAAACATAAAGATTTGGCTCAGCTGGCCACCCCCTTTCTCTATGACTGTGGAGATGTACAATGCAGCCTCCTGGATAAGATGGCACAAATGCAACATCCATTCTGTCTTGTGAAATTCTAGGCTGACCAAAACCATAGTCACGGTACGAAATTCAGATATATACTCCATAGGTTGGCCTTCGTCAATCTACAAAGACAGTGAATTACCCTGCCTGTATTGCCAACTGCCAGTATCATGTTTAGGAATTTTAATTGTACTTTCTGTGGTGAGTAGGACAAAATAAGTTAAGGGTATCAGACCAAATCTTAAAAGAAAATTCAGGTTTGAGAGATATATAAGATATACAAACCAGTACACTTGGAATGAAAACAGTTTGACTTTAAATCTAATTCACTGCTGAAACTTGTTCAGCTTTTATATTTTCTAAGAGTTAGTTTAATATTTCCAATTCCATTAGTCATTACATATGTTTATATATACACACTTAGTCAACACATATTAATTAAGTATATGCTTACTCTATACCCCGCTATACAGTATATTAGTTTCTTGAGGGACAAACTGAAAAAAAAAATATGGCTTTTACTTTCTAGGATTGAGAAATCTAATTAAAATTATAGGACAGGTCATCACAATAATTGGTGCAGGAGACAAACAAACTGGGTCAGTGCAAATAGGACATCACATATAAATGTACACTTGTTCACACAAACACATGCACAGTCTACACGATGACTCAAGAACTAGAAAATAACCTTCTTCAAGAGGTTTTTCATTATATGCTTCCGCAGAGTTTGCTCAAGTGCAGAGTCTGGATCCAACTCCAGGGCAGTTCTTAGAGTATCTGAGAAAAGGAAAACAAATGAAATGTCTCCAGCCATGCTGGAAATTAATTTTTAACATTTTGGGCTTGGGTAGAAAGAACAAAGTAACTTACTAGCACTTGTCCGGTAATGTGGCAGATAATTGAGGCACTTGTCAAAATGCTCATCAAAATCAAATGGGTCAGTGATCCGCATATCTCTTAACTATAGAAAGAAAACTGCTCAATTCTGTGCCCACCTATCAACTGAATTACCATTGGTTCCTTAACATAGGGGCCGAGGATGCCATCTCCTTTGTTTATTATTTATCCTTTCAGCCCTACTGTTCCACCGCATCTATCTTTCTGGAGAAATATCCCCCACATCCCTCCAAAATAGAGTTCCAATGGTGGTTGTTTTGGTTAGGCAATGTGTACCGCCACCAGAGCACTGCCTGCCATGTGCAGCAGAAAGGCCTTTGCAGAATGGGAATGGATAGTGCCAGCCTCCTACCTTCACAGCTTCATCCTCCTTCATGATTTCCACTTCAAACATGTACTGCTCACAGAGTGTCCAGCAGTTCCAGGACAAGACAATCTCATTTGCCTGAGCCAAACGCTGAGCTAACTGGACATCATCTACATCCCGCCCAATCACCAAGAGGTACTGTCGTTGCTCATCTCCAACAATAACCTGGGAAATCCGACCTGCAGATAGACCTATCCAGAAAAAAGGAGACAAGTGGTAAAATAGCCAAACTCAACTGAACATACAAAGGGAGGGGTCTGGAATCCTCACACTGCTCTCTGCATCATGCCAATCTTGTTATTGCCCATAGTTGCAGAAGTATTAGATGAGCTCAACTTGAAAAATAACACCTTGCCTCAGATTTCTTTCTGTCTCAAACACAGCTAGAGACACTCAAACAAGTCAGAGGTGTATGGGTTCAAGAAACAAGAGATCCTAGGCTTCTAAGGGTCTTGTCTCTAAATTGCTCTTCTAATGGACAACTAGGGCCTGCTGGCAGAGACCTAATGGTTACGTTCAGACACTGCTGTCACAGTGACCACACCGTCCCTCCTCGCATGTAACCCGGGCTGATGAATAGATAATATTTTAACAGACATGGGCTAAGTCACCTAATCCAACTAAAAACAAGGGGAAAATGGCAGACACATATGCTTTTGGTCAATATGGACAACATGTATTGAATTTACCATAATGTTCAGAACTAATAAATTGGAAAAAATACACAACATAATTTTCAAGATACTGGTATATCAGGTAATGGAAAACAATGATGCCTGAGAAATGGGAAAACAAGGTGAACCCTCTGATACCCCAACTACTGTCAAGTTTCCAGGACACATCTTGGGGAGTGGAAACCCAAGTGCAGCCCAGAAGACTCCCTGAGTTGGAGACAAAGCTAGGAGTCTGAGTAGGGCAAGGTGGCTAGAGGCAATAGGGCACTGTGCCTACTGATGATTACTCCAGCAATCTGTACAGGATCCCTTAAGCTTTTAGCTGAGTACTAGTAAGTGCATCAATATGAAGAAAGCACCTGAGGCCTGGGAAAAAATCACCTGAAAAGATTAGAAGGAACAATCCCCGATATCACACAGGGCTGGGAATAGTTCCTTGTCCCCACTGGCCAGAGTGCCAAACTTAGTAATTCTCAGGACATTGAAGGGGCTTGCCTCAGGAATGGGGCAAAACTAGCCCTAGACTAAACACAATTCTGGTCCCATCCAACAAAGTTTAAAAGTGAAACCCTAAAGGATCAAGCTACCCAGATCTCAGAATGAAGTCCAAGAATATTATGGCAAGATTTTATAAATCTAGCACTCAGCATGGTAAAATTCACAATGCCTGGCACACACTAAAAGTTACCAGACATGCAACTTTTTGGATAATATGATCCACAGTGAGAAAAAAAAAATCAATCAACTAAACATAACCCAGAATAACACAAAAGATAAAATTAGTAGACAAGAATATAAAAAGAGTTATAACTACATTCCATATATTCAAGAACCTAGACAACAGGCTGAATAAATAGAGACATGAAAGATAAATAAGGACCTAAATCAAACTTCCAAGGATAAAAACTACAAGGCTTGAGATAAAAAATACATAAGGCAGGAATAAAGGTAATTGCAAAAAAAATTGCAATAAATAGCAATAGAAACTATCCAAAATGAAAGACATGGAAAAACAAAACAAAACAGTGAACACAGCACCAGTGAGTCATGGAACAATGTCAAGCAGTGTATAGCATGTTGTAATGGACAGAAGCAGAGGGAAACAGAAAAAAATTTGAAGAAATAAAGGCAGAACATTTTCTAAATTTGGTAACGAAAATCCTAGAGATCAAAGAACCTCAATGAACCATAAGCATAAGAAAAAAGAAAAGAAAAACAAAACACTAAAAAATACCAAGGCACATCATAAGATGACCTAAAACCAGTAATAAAGAAAAAAATCTTTAAAAGCAGCCAGAAGAGCCCAACCAGGCGTGGCTCATGGTTGAGCATCGACCTAGGAGCCAGGAGGTCATGGTTAGATTCCCAGTCAGGGCACATGCCCAGGGTTGTGGGCTCAATGCCTGGTAGGGAGCGTGCAGGAGGCAGTCGATCCATCATTCTTTCTCATCATTGGTATTTCTTTCTCTCTCTCTCTCTCTCTCTCTCTCTCTCTGCCTTTCCCTTCCTCTATGAAATTAATTTTAAAAAAAACAGCCAGAAGAAAAAATAAAAAGACACATTATATACAAAGAAATAATGATGAAGGCAGATTTCTTGTTGGAAACATCACGAGCTAGAAGATAGAGCAACAGCTTTAATGTAAGAGAGAAAAAAATCTGTCAACCAAGAAATTAATACCATGGAAAATATCTTTCAAAAAAAAAAAAGATTTAGCCCTGACCAGTGTGGCTCAGTGGATAGAGTGTCGGTCTGTGGATTGAAGGGTCCTGGGTTTGATTCCGGTCAAGGACATCTACCTTGGTTGCGGGCACACCTCCAGTAGGGAGCATGCAGGAGGCAGCTGATTGATGTTTCTCTCTCATTGATGTTTCTGACTCTCTATCCCTCTCCCTTCCTCTCTGTAAAAAATCAGTAAAATATATTTTTAAAAAGATTTAAATAAAGATTTTTCCAGACATACACACACTGGAATCACATCTCCAGCAAATTCATACTATGAGAAATGTTAAAGTTCTTCAAACAGACAATGAACAAGGGCGTGAAGAAATTGGAACCTGCATTCATTGCTAGAGGGAAAATAAAATGGTACAATCACTTTGGAAAAAAGATTAGCAATTTCCCTTTTACTTATTGATTGATTGATTTTTAAGAGAAAGATAGAGATCAATTTGTTGTTTCATTTATTTATTCATTCATTGTTTGATTATTGTTGTGCCCTGACCTGGGATTGAACCTGCAACCTTGGTACGTCTGGAAGACGCTCTAACCAACTGAGCTACCCAATCAGGACAAGATTAGCAATTTCTTAAAAAGGTAAACATACATCTACCATATGACCCAGGCCTTCTACTCCTAGGTACTTACCCAAGAGAAATGAATACATATGTCCACACAAAGACTTGTACACAGATGTTCATAACAGCTTTATTTGTAATAGCCAAAAGTGAGCACTCAATTATCCAGCAAAAAGTGAGTAGATAGCGGCTCTATGAAGCACACCCGTACCTTTCCCCACACCCTTCTGTCCCCAGGGCTCTCTCTTCCCTGCTGGAGCATGCCTGAACCTCTTCATCTTTCATCTTTCAAGGAGCATCTCTCTCTCTCCCCACTAATCTCTAAGAGCCCTTTTGCTATAACTTGTTTCCTGAGCCCATTTCTTCTACAGCTCACTTCTTCTACCTCTGTGACTTTCTAAATAAAACTTTCTCTTATAATTTGAGTCTTGGCTCTGAATTCTTCTCTTAGCCATAACTTGAAAAAAACTGAATGGAGAAACAAATTGTAGTAAATCCATACAATAAAATACTACTTGTTCTCATATATATTTTGGAGATACTGCTATATCAGAACGTATTTTTTAAGTTGCAGAGAATCTCGTTGAGTAGACATATTTAGTGCTTAGTCAGTCTCCTATAGATGGATTGTTTTCAACCTTTTATTATAAACTATATTGCAATCAATAATCTTGTACATATGACATTTCGTGTATCCTCAGGTATTCCTATAGAATAAATGCTCAGAAGTAGGACTGCTGGGATAAAGAATAAATACATTTGCTTGGCTGGTGTGGCTCAGTTGGTTGAGCATTGTCCCATGCACCAAGAGGTTGCTGGTTCCATTCCCAGTCAGGGAACATGCCAGGGTTGTGGGCTCAATCCCCAATAGGAGGCATGCAGGAGGCAGCTGATAAATGTTTCTATCTCACTGATGTTTCTCTCTCTTCCTCTCCCTTCCTCTTTGTCTAAAATCAATACAAAATATATTTAAAAAAAGAATAAATGCATTTATAATCTTGATTACTGAATCATCTTCCATATGTTATATCATTGTTGATTCCTACCAGTATCACATAAGAAGGCTTACTCTCCACAGCCTCAATAGTATGTTTAGCATCTGAATTTTTTAGATGAGAAATGATCTCAATTGGCATTTTTCTTATTATGAAGTTGACCATCTTATGTATTTCTTTGTTTATGTACTATTTATTCATCTCCATTTTTCTCTTAGAATGTTAGTTTTTTATTTCTATGTGTTTTTTATTTCTCTGTGTTCTTTCTATGTTAAAAAATTCATCCTTTGTCTACATGATATAAGTTGCAAATATTTTTACCCAATTTATCTTTTGAAATTTTTATAGTGTGTTTTTTTTTTTTTTCCTGTGGTTGTTGTTTTCCAATTGGATATCTTTTAGTAGCTACTACCTATCTTTAGCTGCAGGTCCTGGCCTTCTCTGGTATGGTAGATTCCAAATTTCTCCTGTATCTCCAGACTGCATTTTGCCACGAGGGTAATGATGTCACTCAGTTGATTCTGTTCCACTGTCCAGAGTGCCAGGAGGACATTCCCTGCAGAGACAAAAGATAGGCTGACAGAGGTCAAATATCTGGACTCACTTGACCAGGACAAAGACCCCAATAATGCAGAAGGTATCATGCAAGGTGTCAGGCAAGATTTCTTGGCTCTATATATGATGCTTGCTTAAAATATTGCTTTAGATCCTCAAAATGACTTGAGCATATAAATAAAGATGACTAGGTAGAAGCTGAAATGTTACTAAGGTTTAAAGATAGTTTAATAATAGTTTTGCTAATCTTCCTTCCACCAGTATACTAAAAGATGATGAGGGGTACTTCATAAAATGTAGGTTCATATTCAAATATAATTTTATGGTTGGTTTAAGTTTAAATAAAAAGATGGTTCAACAGTGTGGTATAAAGCTGCTTATGATCCTAAGAGTTCTCCAGATAGGAGACTTTTTACTCCTCCCTGTCTTACGTTTAGTTTCTGCTACTAATGACTAAGTTTCTCATTAGTTTACTCACGAATACTCTACAGGCACTTGTTTTTCTGTCATTCAATCTAAGCAAAATGTAAAGCAATGTGAGCTTAATATGGGCAAGGCTTTCCCATTAGACTGGGAGACCCCAGAGATTGTGTCTTTCTCATCTTCGTTTCTCCAGGCCCAGCACATATTAAATAACCAAACAATGTTGAATAAACAAATATGCCATACTCCACCTAAATATAGTCTTCCTCCCTTAGTCCATAAAATATTCAGGAAAATGAAAGATACCTGTGATATTTAGGATATCTCCTCCAAAACAGAGTACATCTGAAATTGAGTAAGGGAGAGAGGAAAATAAGTCAAAATCAGAGCTATACCAGATCACAGAAGAATCATATGTGATCAAAGAATGACCTACTGAGTTTTTCCTTATATCTTTTCAGGTCTTTTTGTGTATTTCAAGGCTCAGGTTCCTTCTCCCTTCCTTCTAGCTTCTCCTCAAATCCACCTTTACTTATATCACTTTCTCTAAAATGGCAGAAATGCTTCTATTCCTTCAAAGCTACCCCTTCCTTTGTCCTCTGGATCCTCGCCTGGCTTGCCCTCTCAAGAACTTCACTCCCTCCCTTATCTTCTATTGGATCATTCCTAGAAATATTTTAAAAAACAAAATAAAACACAACAAAATTAACCTACCTATTTTTGACTTTACCTTCTTCTCTAGCTATTAGGGCCATTTTTGTGCTACATTCCCAGTAAAAATATTCTCAAGAGTCGACTATATACAATTTTCTCCTCATAACCTATTCATTCAATATTTTTCTCTACCATTCTCTTCTCAGCTTACTCCAATCTGACTTCCATCTCTGTCACTTCACTAAAATTATCAAGATCATCAACAGCATTCATCTTGCCAAATTCAGTATTTTCTGACCTCACTGTATTAGACACCTTTCATTTTCAACCCAGCTAGCCACCACCTTTTTTTTTAGAGACACTACTTCCCCTTTGGTTACGAAAATACCACAATATTCTACATCTCACTGTCTGTCTTATAGACTCTTTTGGAGGTTATTTCTCTTTCTCCCTAATCATAATCCTCTCCTGGAGTTCTTCAAGCCTCAGTCTTAGGCTCTTTCTCTTTATTTATATTCTCCCCATCAACTCACTTTGATTTCTCTTTGAATGATTTATTGACATTTCAAGCTCAATATATTCAAAAAGAATCCTGATTTTCTTTCTCAAAGCTCAGACTTTCCCATTTTGGTAGGTGATGCCACCATCAATTCAGTTATGAAAGCTGAAAACTTGAGTCCTTTTCCTCACTACTTCCCACTGAAAAAATAATCAGCCCGGCTGGTGTGGCTCAGTGGTTGAGCATTGGCCTATGAACTAGGTCACAGTTCAATTCCCAGTCAGGGCACATGCCCGGGTTGTGGGCTCAGTCCTCAGTGTGAGGCACGCAGGAGGCAGCCAAATAATGATTCTCTCTCATCATTGATGTTTCTATATCTCTATCTCTCTCCTTTCCTCTCTGAAATCAATAAAAATATATTTAAAAAAAGAAAAGAAAAAATACATCAGCTAATCCTGTGTGTTGAACCTGCAAAATATACAGGGTGTTCCCCCACAAAATGTATATAGACTTTAACAGCTGGTAGCTTAATTTTGAAAATAAAATGTGTTTTAATAGACACTGTCTTTATATAATTATTCAAAGTATGTGTATATGTTTTTGGGGGACACCCTATATATAAAATCAATCCATCGCCATACGACTCCACTGCCATATCTTGAGACCAATATTTTCAACCTTGACTGCGCAATGGAATTGCCTGTAAAACTTTTAAAATTCCAACTCCTGGGCCTACCTCAAGATAGTCTGATTTAACTGATGTAGACATCAGGACTTTGGAAAGCTCCCCAAGTGGTTATCTAACATGCTGCCAAGGTTGAGAACCACTACCCTAGACCAATTCTCCATCATCTTTAACAGCTGTTCCAATGATCTCTTCCAGCTCCATTCTTACCACCTACTCTTCTTCAGCTCCCTATAACCCAATCCCCGCAAGGCAGCTAACATGAGCTTTTAAAAAATGTAAATCAGCCCTAACTGGTTTGGCTCAGTGGATAGAGCATTGGCCTGCGGACTGAAGGGTCCCAGGCCAAGGGCATGTACCTTGGTTGCGGGGACATCCCCAGTGGGAGATGTGTAGGAGGCAGCTGATGGATGTTTCTCTCTCATCGATGTTTCTCTCTATCCCTCTCCCTTCCTCTCTGTAAAAAATCAATAAAATATATTTTTTAAAAAATGTAAATCAGATCATACTCCCTTGTACTGACATGTATGATCCAAACTCCTTACGATGGCTTATTCAGTGGTCCTACATGCGCGCCCTCACGTGGTATTTTGTGGAAGAGCCACACTCAAGGGGCCAAAGAGCCGCATGTGGCTCGAGAGCTGCAGTTTGCCGACCACGGGCCTATACAGCTTGATGATCTCCAACCTCACCTCAAGCCACTTTTCTTCCACTAGCTATGCTCTAGCCCAGGGAAGGGAACCTTTTTTTCTGCCAAGTGCCATTTGGATATTTATAACATCATTTGTGGGCCATACAAAATTATCAACTTAAAAATCAGCCTGCTTTAATTAATTCACCCCTAATGCCTTGGCCGGGCCAGATCGAATGATTTCGTGGGCCTTATGTGGCCCACAGGCCAGATGTTCCCCACCCCAGCTCTAGCCACGCTGGCCTTCTCACTTCCCAGAATATGCCAAGTTTTCTCCCATCTCAGAAACTTTGTACTTGGCTTTCTTCCGTCTGAAATGCTGTACACTTGGCTCTGCACAAGGTGTTCCTCTCATCATTTACCTCTTAGCCTAAACACCCCCTCTGATTACCCTAATATAGAAATGCTCACCCTATAATCCTTCTTTTTTAACCATCACACCCTATTTATTTCCTTCGTAGAATGTATAATCTATAATTGTTCATTATTTGTCTATCCCACAGGGACAGGTACTATATCTTATGTACCTGTATTTCTAGTACCCAGAAGTTCCTGATGTTACAATTCCTAATTCATAACTTCTATCTCCCCCTTTCATCTACACTTGGTGAGAAAAACTGAAAGACCTTTAACACTTGCTCCTCAGGGGTTAGGGGTGGGTCAAATAATCATTTCTAAAGGAGACGGCGCAAAGTTAGTATTCCGGTGACTCTCAGAATGATGGACATAACTGCATGGGGCACCGTCCGCCAAGAACGGGAATGTTATATAGATACTAAAGGGTATAGGCCAAGCGTAATTTCTGCTGGGTAAGCTTAACCAGACTGAAAGGTGAACAACAGGGTTTTGCACCCTCTGCACCTATTATAGTGCATGTCACAGAGTAGGTACTCAAAAACACGTTTACTGAACAAAGAAGGAGTTTCTTTTCCAAATTAGGCAAATATGCATGAGCTTAATACATGGCAGAAAATAAACACTCATTCCTACCTCACAGGATCAAAATGCAATGCTGGCATGGGAAGGTGTTTTCTAAATTATATTTGATATACGCACATGAGGCACATTACATTACTGTTAGAAGAGACAACCTGAGGAATGCTTTATTTTGAAATAAAACACAAACATGTAAAGTTAAAACTAGCTGTTGTTCTGTTTCTGAACATTGAGTCAACAGGATGTGAGACTGGACAGAATGGCAGACACAGAGATGTAGCTTGCCGGAACAAATGTAACACTGAAAGAATGGTCCTTCAGTGTCCCTTCTAAGGTACCCCAGGACCCCTGCTATCGCCAACCCGCCGGAGCCCAGGTCACGCCTCCTTGCCCCCCTGCAATGGCCACTCACGCTCGATGATGTCACTAATGTAATAACTGAAAATGTGGGCCAGTTTGTCCAGGTCATCTTCCGACTTGCAGGTCAGGCTGAACCTGTCCATCAGCGCTGTGAACCCTAGCCAACAAAGCAGAGATGATTACGTTAGCTGACAATCCTCAACTTTTATTGCCTCCACGTATCAGACCCGGGTTAAGGGAGCAGATGTCTTTTTTTTTTTTTTAATGTTTTATTGATTTTTTACAGAGAGGGAGAGGGAATCAGAAACATCGATGAGACAGAAACATTGACCAGCTGCCTCCTGCACACCTCCTACTGGGGATGTGCCTGCAACCAAGGTACATGCCCTTGACTGGAATCGAATCTGGGACCCTTCAGTCCGCAGGCCGATGCTCTATCCACTGAGTCAAACTTGTTAGGATGGGAGCAGATGTCTGGGCTTTAGCAACCCCATCGTCCTGTCAGGGGGTGGGGAAGTCGGGGTTCACTGCTCCAGGAGCTGCAGACCGTGAAGCCAGCGCCCCCTCGCCCACCCTTCCCTACGGCGCCCTGGCCGAGGGACCCACAAGATTTCTCCCCACGTGAGAGGCAGGCAGCACACGGGAACAGGTTCATGCTTTGTGGAGAGCTCGCAGTTTGAGCTCGAATCTCTCATCTTCATGACACACACGCTCCCTAGACACTCGTTAAATGAACAGTCAGTGTTGAGTCTCAATTTCATGCTTTCTGAAGAGAACCCAAGGGCTAAGCCAGAGCATCCCTAGCGGCGTCCTCCTGCTCGGAAACCGCGCTGGTCCCCGCGGGCGGCCGGCAGGGAAAGGCGCCTGAGCTCCCGCGGTTCTGGGAGCGGAGGCCCAACGGCCGCCGCCGGGGCGGGCCGGGGAGCGACGCGCCTGCCCTCGCCCTCACCCGTCACGTGGACGCCAAGGAGGACGCCCTGGGCCGTGGCCAGCTCGGGTTCTGGTGCCCGGGGCTTCCGGAAGACCAGCAGGTCGGGAAGTAGCGCCGCCAACCGGGCCTCCACCGGCCACAGAAGCGGCGCCCTCTCCCGGTCGCCGGTCGCCATGACGGCGGCGGGGTTGCCCGCTGACCTACCGGAAACAGGGCCTCCCGAGTAGCAGCCAATTAGCGTGGCGGCCCTGGCGGGTCCCTCCCACCAACCAATCAGTGTGGGCTTCCTTGCGGCACCGCCCCACCTGCCTCCGGCCGCCGCTGCCCTTGCTCTGGCTTCCGGGGCGGAAGGCGGGGCAGCTAAGAGCAGGGCTTTCAGAGCCGCAATGCCCTCGTGTTTTCATGAAGTAGGGTAGTGAAGATGCTTCTACCACAAAGATCTGGGGTAAATATAGTAGTGGTCTTTGCGTCGTATTACGGGTAGAAACAGGTCATTTCTGAATTTCTAAGGACAAGTTCCTTAGGCATCTGGCTAAAGCAAACTCGGGATGGTATTTAAACTGAACAGTTACACTAAGGTTATTTTACTCTTGGCCCGTTTCAATCGTTAGGGGAGAGATTCTTCTATTTCTGCGGTCTGCCAGGATTGGTCTATCGGGTCTCTCATGAGAGGGCTCCCTGTGGCTGTTTTTCTCTTAATTCCTGACTTCTGTATGATAATGACATACTTAAGTTCCCAATCTGTTGCTCAGATTCAGAGAGAACACAAAGCAGTACAACTATGAGTACACTGGATTTTTAACAATCAGAAAAGTATTTTTGTCTTTCCTGCAGAAATTAAACATTTTTATTTTCACTATAGTTCTACACCACCTAATAAATCAATGCCATTTTGGTGGGCTAATTTTACTCGAAGTATTCTTCTTTGCATTTTGATAACACTTCCAGTAAGACCAAATACATGATCACACCACAGATGACAGAAAATAATTGTCAGCAGAGTGGGAAGGCCAAAAGGGAAGGAAAAGAAATTAAAGGAAGGAGCTAGGTAAGAGGCCTGGACACTACATATGTCTTGTGTCTACAGAGATCAATTTCAACATTATAAACAACCTATAACCCAGGGGATGTAGACTTCTCAAAATTCAAATCACTTTCTCATAAATTTATTTTTAAAAATAACAATTGCAATGACATCAATGATCAGATCACCTGTACTCCCCTTACTGCTGAGGGGAAAATATATATAATTGAGTCCCAAAAGAAAATCAAGACATTATTATCAGGCACTCAATAGCCAAAAATGTTGTTGGTCCAGTGATATAGACACTGACATGTTCAATGTACCAATACAATTAAAATATATACAATTATCCTGCAAAAAAAAGCATTCATGAAGTGAAGTAACTATTAAACCAATTATTCACTCATCCATTCACTCTATATCTAAAAATCATCACTACAGTCAAAAGGAAAATTGAGTAAAAGAACTTCTAGCAACAAATAAAGAAAAAAATCCAAACCTTAATCCACCTCACCCCCACTTTGTGGGTTATTATGATATGCTAAAAATGACCACAATAAAAGGGCCATGAATTAGCTGAAATGCAATGACAATAATGACAACTGAAGCATTTAATTTCAAGCAAAACTCAAATGCATGAAAAAATAATTCCGCAACGAGGCTGGAATTACTATGTACAAACTTACAGACACAAATAAATAGCATTTTAGAACTATTGGCTTAAGTACTAGAAATTAGGTCTGAGGAATCTCTTTCTGAACTCTGCATCTTAAAGATTCCTAAACAAACCAAGGGATATAAATTTCTCATTGTTTTTGGTAACCTGTCATTTGACAAATTTGGGGATTACTGGATAAATTAACATCTAAAACTCATGTAATGAGCCAGAAGTTTCTAGTGAGTCTACCAAAGAATAAGTCCTCTATTTCTGACATCTGGAAGCCAGGAGATGATTCGATTTCAGGAATTAGAAATATATTTCACTTCCTGTTTTCTTTGCATAGCTCTGTACCTCTATTTAGGCCATTACAATGCTTATGATGTTTTCTTTAGAGAGTGAAATACTTTTTATCTCTTAATACAATTAGAGTAAAATATAAAAAGAGCCAATCTTTACTCTTGGTTATCAAGTCAAAAAGAATTAAGTTTTCCTTCTTTGTTTCCAGAGTAGGCAGAAACTCTTCTGAAGTATCACCATCTACCAGGGTCCAACATCTAGAAAAGAAATGAGACACAACCCATTCTGGGAACCGTGGCCCAATTCCTTACACTACAGCCATCTCTAGTTCCAGTCTGTAATTTGTCCCCAAAATGTAGATGCAAAGTGAAAACCTTCCTGCAAAGGCATATGGAGAAAGGGGGAAGCAAATGGAAGCTGGCACCAATGAGTCAGCTGCCATGGAAACGTGAGAATGTCCGTTTTCTGGGGCCAGCACCAAGCACTTGCAGGAGTGAAGCCAACATCCACGTTAAGTTCTAGGAGGTAACCTGGAGAATGTCCAGGACAGCTTGATTGAACAGTGCTTTCCAGAAAGTGTCAAAGACCAAATCTCAGACTTCTCTCTTTCGGTTGTTAAAAGATTATAGTGTAAATGTAAATTAGTCTCTTCATCTTAATGATCCATCCCAGGCATCCATCAACTGACGAATCATGCTATATGACAACACATGGGTATATTACCTCTCTCTCTTCTTCTAGACGGAAACACACACAAACCCTTCTATTTTCCAAATGCTGTCACTAAGCCTATGATTGAAAATCTCTAGTTTGCCTCTCTGTTTAGGAGTTACTACAAATGTCCTCAGCACTTCAGCATAGTTGTATTGTTTTGTTCTCTACTTAGGAAAGGAAGTTTCAAGGTCCAATACCTTCTAAATTGTCCTACAAGTAGCCATAGTAAGAACTATGGTCCAGATGACCTGTCAACAGATGGACAAGCAGACCACAACTGGCCAAAATGAAAAAAGATTCAGCAATTATTTTTAGTGCTTGATTCTTTTATCATTCTATCCCCAGAATTAGCTTTTTCTTGGCTTGGAGTCCAAAAATACCAACTTATCATCTGCGCAGACAGAGATTCTTATTATTACCACAGATTAGATGAATGTATCTCAGAGAATTTATTATTTCCATGAGATTGAACTTCCATGCCTGGAAGTCATCTCTGAATACAGTGTTCATTCACTTAGCCTGAGATGGTATTTAGATTCCATGGGAAGGAGTGGGCTTCAGCTTCCCGGATTGTAGTTTAGCTTGAGAAGGTTGTTCTCCCCTGCTCAGACGGCTGGCTGGCTTCACCAGTCAACATCTAAGTGCTGTGTGTGGTACTGTTGGGCTGGCATGAGTCCTTCGCATCATCCTAGTCCATGAAACGTCAATGTCATCAACAGTCTAAAATAGTCCTGACTGAAAGGGTGAGACAAAGCCTTGCAACTTCAATTTGCCAGCTGCAATTATAATACCAAGCCACTCTGAAAAACTAAGTGGGTTTCTGTCCTGTAGAAAAGGGCAGAATGTGATCATCAGTGTCCCATCGGAAGAAGTGATCAATTTCCTGGAACAGTGGTGAGGAACATGACCTTGATCATCTCCATCACATGGCCTGGGGTTAGGATACTCGGATGATCTGTGTCATTGCTTCTTCATCTGCTTGGTTTGGATCCTAGAGACAAAGAAAGCATAATAATGATTAAAGTACTTTGCAAAAGCAACAGGAACTGTGGCTCTCGCTACTTTATCACCAAGGACATAGATACAACTTTGCCAAGAAAACCAAAGGTCTGCTTGCAAGTCTGCATAAATGGATTAAAATGCAGCTCTCTTTGGAAATGAGAGAATAAACCTTATTCTTAAAAGGATTAAAAATCTGATCTGGCCTGCCACTCCATTACTGAACACCCCAGAGTTGATAGCACACCTATGTTGTGCTCTACCTTTACTGTTTAAGGGTCCTAAGAGGTGGCTAAGAGAAAGACCAAGAAAAGCCATGTCATACTATATCTATATTAAAATATATTTTTACTAGAGGTCCGGTGCATGAATTTGTGCATGGGTGGGGTCCCTCTGGGTGACCTGCAGGGATCCGCTGAAACCCACAGTCCAACGCCGCCTGCAACTCCTACCTGCCACTCCCGCTCATCCTGGCCCCATTGTGCCTGCTGTGTGCTTGCGCCCAATCAGTCCCGATCGGGAGAGGCTCGCGCTGCCACAGCAGCGCTCACCAGCCATGAGCCCTGCGTCTGGCGCCCTCCCAAGGGGAGTAGCCTGTGGGATCAGGCTGAAACCTGCTCTCCGACATCCCTCAAGGGGTGCAGGATTGTGAGAGGGCATAGGCCAGACTGAGGGAACCCATGGGTGCACAATTGGACAGGGGAGGCAATGTGGGAGGGCTCCAGGGTGTGTCTGGCCTATCTTGCTCAGTCCTGATCAACAGCAAGCTAACCAACCAGTTGGAGCATCTGCCCCCTGGTGGTCAGTGTATATCATAGCGACTTTTTGCCCCCTGGTGGTCAGTGCGCATCATAGTGAGCAGTTGGGGATCCTTAGCATATAATTAGCATATTACTTTTTTATAAAAAAATATATTTTATTGATTTCTTTTTACAGAGAGGAAGGGAGAGGGATAGAGAGTTAGAAACATCTATGAGAAAGAAACATCCATCAGCTGCCTCCTGCACAGCCCCTACTGGGGATGTGCCCTCAACCAAGGTACATGACCTTGACTGGAATCGAACCTGGGACCCTTCAGTCTGCAGGCTGATACTCAACTCACTGAGCCAAACTGGTTAGGGCACATATTACGTTTTGATTGATTGTTCAGTTGTTCTGCCGTTCGGTCTATTTGCATATTACCATTTTATTATATAGGACTGATTTCAGAGCAAGGAGAGAGATAGAAACATCAATGATGAAGTAGATTGCCTGCCTCCTGCATGCCCCACAATGGGGATCGAACCAACAGCCTGGGCATGTGCCCTGACTGGGAATCAAACTGTGACCTCCTGGTTCATAGGTCGAGGCTCAACCACTGAGCCATGCCAGTCAGACATGCTGTGTGTGTGTGTGTGTGTGTGTGTATGCGTGTATATATATGTGTGTGTATATATATAAAATATATAATTTTTGGTCATTATTTTCTGATCATTATATTTAAATGCTGAGCACTTAGCAGAGCTAAGTGACATTGGGATTTATTTACTTTGACGCACTTTGTTAAAAGGTTACAGTGTACCTAGAAGTTACAGATAAACCTGATGCCCAGATGCGTATAAGTGATTTGCTTGGACTAGAATCAGTAAGTTACTCAGGAGCCCAGCAAGAACTAACTCCCAGGTCTCTGGTACCCATTTAATATTCTTTCCACTAAACTCTGCCTGCTGCCTCTCACAACATGCAGTGTTAAGACAAGGATTTGTCTGTGGAAACTTTCTGCAATACTCATAGTAACCACCTTCAGTTCTTTCACACCAAGGCAGTGAAGTCTCAATTAACATGATCCAAGGAAAAGCTGAATGATTTCTGAAGGTGGTAGGCCTGGAGCTTGGTCTTGATCAATGAGTGAGAATACTAATAGTATTTACTGAGCTCTTACCATGCACTAGACTAAGTAGGTGCCTAATGTGACTTACTGCATGACATTCTCACAACATTCTTGTGAAGTATCAATAGCACCCCATTTTACAGGTGAAGAAAACTGAGGCTAAAAGAGGCTAAGTAAACTCACTGAGGTCATATTGTTAGCACACAGAATTAGGAGAGTTCCTTGAGTGAAAAGCTTTATAAATTGGCTATATTGAAGACAAAGGTCCTAATGGCAGAAGACAGAACAATGCTATAGCAAGGGCATAAAAACCAAGGAGTAGGAGGAAATGAAGCCAGAGGTAGGCAGGACGAGCTAGATCATTCAGGACCTTTTTGGCCAAGGTAAGTATTTTAGATTTTAGTCTTAAGTGTAAATGAGAAAGGGCAGGGTAGAGGAATTTAAGCAAGATGGTGATGTGATGTGATATACATTTAAAAAATCACACTAAAATGTGGCTAATGGACCAGAGCAGCACAAGAATGGAACAAGGGAGACCAGTTGGCAGCTGTTATACTAGGCTGACATTTGGGAGGGAAAAAAGTAAACTGGCTCAGATTATATTTTAGATGTAAAATCAAGAGTTGGATAATTCTAGGAACTGGATGGATGGACGTGTTCAGATGAGTGGTTGAGGCATTAAAAAAAAAATCAAGGGTTCTACTTTAGATATATTGATTCAGAAATGTCAATACAATAAAATCGGTAGAATTAAATGTAAGAACCAGTATAATATAGTAGTTACAGAGTACGTTATGGAATTGTACTGCTTGGGTTTGAAATTCAGTTGTACCATTTTATTAAGTACTAGTGTCACGGTGCATGGATTTGTGCACATTGAAAGGAAATTAATTAGAAGAAATATTTTAATATCGTTATTTGTGTCTTACCAATGAAAAGAAAAAAGGATTCTATCAAGTCTCCTATCTACCTACTCCAGGACTTCTGAGGATCAAATGAGATGAAGCATGGGAAAACAATTCACAAACATTTGGTTGAACTGTAAAATGTTTGCACCTGGCTATAAAGCAAGTTGTGTTCCTGGGGTGAAGAAACTCTAAGGAGGCTAGTCACTAGGGAGAGGAAGCTGGGCATTGCTATGTGACGTCATTACCCGGCACCCACAACGACTGTTTCCAGGCTGGCTGTGGGCCGCATTTTGCACCATGGGATCTTGGCAGCGTTGGCTGCGATTTGGTGGGCTGTTGCTCCAGGGTGGTGCTAGGGCCTGTGTTACACTTGGGGGAAGCTGAGTGTTGGTTTGTAGGTACCAGATCCATGGTGTTGTTTATTTTTAAATAGCCAGTGCGTGCCATGGCAACTCCTGTGGTGGGCATCTGCCCCCTAGTGGTCAGTGCTCGTCATACCTACTGGTCGGACAGACACTTAACTATATATATATTACACCTTAGGCAAACTATTTAACCTGTCTAAACTTTTGATTCAATTGTAAAATGCTTACCTCCTAGAGCAACCGTGGGCAAACTACGGCCCGCGGGCCACATCCGGCCCGTTTGAAATGAATAAAACTATTGAAAAAAAAGACCGTACCCTTTTATGTAATGATGTTTAACCTTATATTAGTTCACACAAACTCTATCATGCTTTTGTTCCGGCCCTCTGGTCCAGTTTAAGAACCCATTGCGGCCCTCGAGTCAAAAAGTTTGCCCACCCCTGTCCTAGAGCTTTAGGTTGTTGTAAATATTCAGTTGGGGGAAAAAACTTAGACAATGCAAAAGATTCCACCTGAGAATATACAAAGTGAGAAGTCTTCTTACCTGCATATGAGGACTATCCTTTTCTTTTGGAGAGAAAAATCGCCCACCTTCACCACGCTTCCGTGCCATGGCATGACGGTGGCGAGACTCATGCAGATATTTCTAAAACCAGAAATCAAAGCCATCAGAGGCACTTATGACTTTGAATTATGGAGAAAGCTTTGGAGAAAACACTAGATAGCTAACCATATATAACTACCATAAGAAGTAAATGCTAAATGGATATAATAAAAAAGACTTCCCTCCCCTAAGGTATCCCATAGATAACTACCTATCTCTTAATATATATATATATTCTCTCTTTTGCTTTAATAACAGACCAAATTTTTGTTGGGCAAATGGCTGCTTAGTAAAAACACTGCATTTCCTTGCTTTATTTGCAGGTAACTGGCCATGTAATTAAAGTTTTGCTAAGGAGCCTGGCCGGTGTGGCTCAGTGTCGACCTATATGAACCAGGAGGTCACAGTTCAATTCCTGGTCAGGGCACATGCCCATTTTGCGGGCTCAATCCCCAGTGTGGGGTGTGCACGAGGCAGCTGATCAATGCTTCTCTCTCATCACTGATGTTTCTCTCTCTCTCCACCTACCTCCCTTATTCTATGAAGTCAATAAAAAAGAAATTTAAAAAAATAAATTTTTGCTAATGAAATATAAAACTTCCTAAAAGTTTCCTTAAAAGAGAGCTGCCTCTTTTGTTCCATTTGATCCTAGGCTGGAGCCCAAGCAGCCATCTTGGACTACAAATAGCAAACTAAGAAATTAGAATAAGACAGGAGGAGAATGAGTCTTGAGAACTGTGGAAATATGCTACCAGCCCAGGACAATTTATCTCTGGGCTTCTTTTATGTAAGAAAAATTTTAAAAAAATAATTTAAGCCAGTGTTATTTTTTTGTTTCTGTAGTTGCACCTATATATAGCAAATGCTAACTTTTATAAAAAAATACCAGCTATCAGCCCAGTCAGTGTGGCTCGGTGGTTGAGCATTGTCGACCTACGAACCAGGTCATGGTTCCATTCCCGGTCAGGGCACATGCCTGAATTGCAGTCTTGATCCCCAGTGTGGGGCATACAGGAGGCAGCCGATCAATGATTCTCTCTCATCATTGATGTTTCTCTCCTTCCCTCTTCTTTCCTCTCTGAAATCAATAAAAATATATTAAAAAACAAAAACAAACCAGCTATCTACCTACCTTCAGTTGTTTGGAAGGTACTCAAAACAAACCATATAAAAGGTTTTACTTATTCCTAAAGTAGAACCCTGGTATTCTCTTCCTACATCCTTCCCTATGTTATACATACCCTTCTTTCCTTTGGAATTTTCCCTTCTGCCTCTAGTTTGGCTCGGGCTTGCCTCCTCTTAAGTATGCGGTGATACTGTTTGGCATTCACATAGAGAGGCTCTTCTTCGAGCATCTCTGCCCCAGGTAGAGGGATTCTTTGGATAGCAGGCACAGACCCAGCACCAGGCACCATCTGTGTTGAGAGAAAACCAGTTTATTAAATAGTGACATAAAGTATAGACATAGGAAAGTTTCTTAATCTGTGTTAATCTATTTTCTTCTGAATGCTACATAAGAGTAGCTTTTACAGGGCATTCAGTTAAATGTATTTCCTGGAGAACACTTACACTAAATGCATTTAAACCAACATTACGAATCAATTGGGGGCCCAGGAGCCATACTTAGAAATAACATAACCTGGTCCAAATTCTTGTCCACGCATGGCTCCATTCTCTAGGAATGTCTGCTGCCATCCAGACAGTAATCTATCTATCTATCTATCTATCTATCTATCTATCTATATGAAAGGCTAATATGCATAGTGTCTCCAAAGGAGTCTGGGAGTTCTATTGCTCGCTATGACGTGCACTGACCACCAGGCAGCAGCATGGAATGAAGGTAGGCCCCAGGTGGCAGCCAGCAGCCGGGGAAGGGAGCCCTGACTGGCAGCCGCAAGGCCCCAATCAGCCCTGATCGCTGGGCCTAGGGACCCTACCCGTGCAGTAATTTTGTGCACCGGGCCTCTAGTATGACAATACTGTAAAACAGTTCAATGGAAAATAGGTATAAATTTACCAAGTGCTACTTAATGCCTATAGTTATACAACTAATTTAGTTAACTTATTATATAATTTAATCCTAATTTTTCTAAACAAACAAAATGAAACACTGTACTAAATGTATGATGAGCCGAAACTGGTTTGGCTCAGTGGATAGAGCGTCGGCCTGCGGACTGAAAGGTCCCAGGTTCGATTCCGGTCAGGAGCGTGTACCTGGGTTGCGGGCACATCCCCAGTAGGAGATGTGCAGGAGGCAGCTGATGGATGTCTCTCTCACATCGATGTTTCTAACTCTCTATGTCTCTCCTTTCCCTTCCTCTCTGTAAAAAATCAATAAAATATATTTTTTAAAAAATATATGATGAAACAAGTCCCTTTTGCTACACTCCCTTCCCAACGTTAACTTTGAATGTCTGTATTGTTTCTTCTGGTAGCTTTCTTCCTCTCTGTGCAGGCTTCTGCTCCTCAATTCTTCATTTATCCATTTTAGGTACTATGTACTGACATCATATTATGACATATGAGGATTTAGCTTTCAGATACCATCCAACTTTCCTTCCCTATCTTCTCACTGTATTTATATCACACATTTTTTTGGTTTCTCTAATTATAACCTAATTTTTAGCTTATTTCTTGTTTCATCCACTAGACACAATGTATTTTCCAATTGCCAAAGATCAGCAGCCTAACTCTCCCTTCATTATTTGAATTCTGAATAAGATCACATAAAATCATACATTTAATCTGTTTAATCACTACTATATCTCCAGCACCAAGAATAGTACCTGGCACTAATAGGTCCTCACAATGAATTATGGTTCACTGTAATCTATACTAATAAAAGGGTAATATGCTAATTAGACCAAACATCTTCCGGAAGTCCTTCTGGACAAAGCCACAGTGGCGGGGGTTAAGGCAGAGGCAGTTAGGGACTATCATATCAGGCCAGCAGGGGAGGGCAGTTAGGGGGCGATCAGGCCAGCAAGGGAGCAATTAGGGGGTGATCAGGCCAGCAGGCAGGTGAGCGGTTAGGAGTCAGCAGTCCCAGATTGTGAGAAGAATGTCTGACTGGTCACAGATTGGAGAGGGTGAGGGATCCCTCCACCCCTGTGCATCGGGCCTCTAGTGTTTATTATAAAAGTCGATCTCTGTAAGTGCCTTAAGGATTAATCTCAATGCCAAGAGGTCAAGATTATTAACAAGCTTTATGAGAGACATCAAATTGCAAGTTCAAGAATTTTGCAAAGACAGATATATAGAAAAAGAAATTACAGATGAGAACAGTGAGCTGAAAAATCAATATTCTTACCATGACCATCCCTCCTGAATTGACCACATTGCCTGCCACTGGCAGTGTCACAGTGACAGTCCCTTGTCCACTGCTGGTTGTATTGGTGTTGGCTCCTGTCTGAACAATCTGTGCTCCTGCCAAACTGGCTGCTGGGATGGTGATCATGCCTGAAACAGGGACTGTAACTTTAAGAAAATAAAACATAAAACAACAAACAGGTACACAGAAAGAAGGGAACACAGTTAGCTCCTCTTCTATCTGGCACACACTCATTCATCCTGGAAAAGCATTATAAACTGAATAAGGGGGGGGAAAGCATTCACCCACTCTCTGTCTGGTTTACTATATAAAACCCATGTAATCACAATCTTTGAAACTCTATTAAGTTTCTCGGTTATAGCTCTGAATAAATCTATCCTTGAAATGGATACTTTCCTGGGCATTACAATAACAGTTTTCAATAGGTGGCGAGACAGTTTGCAGTCTTCCACTTCTATGGGTCAGTCTGAGTATAGCTATACCCAGTTTTTGTACACATCAAGAATCTGCTTCAGGATGGAAATTTTATAAACTTATAAACTGACAAGGAATCAGCCAGTTGCAAGTCTAAAGCTTAAACCAAGCATTCCAAGTCCCCAAACTATCAACATCAGCACCGAGGAGAATGTGTTTACCATTTCCTGAGTTCCTGCCAGTGCTCATTCCAGTTCAGGCCCTCTCCTGAGTCATAACAAAAGCACACTGTTACTGCATCCACTGGATCTTACATACTGCTAAGTCTTAATCACAAGTCAAACCTTTAGTCAAGGAATCTAACTGAGATGTCCTTTTTGGATTTAACTATCAGACAAATGCTTCCAAAAACTCAAGTTCAGATTGAGCCATCTCCTCCTCTCTGAAATACATTCTCCTCTCGAGCCCTATTTCTCTACCTTCTGTATGCATTAGTTATTCCTAGAACATACCTCCATAGGATTCTGCACTATGTTTATTTGTTCACATGTATGCCTCTCTTGTTAGACTACAGTTTCTTTGAGAAGCTCTTCTTTCTTAGCAAAGTTCTACATACATAACCGGCACATAATAAGTGGTTTTGGAATAAATTAACAAAGAAGTGGCCCTGATAAAAATATAACTAAGCAACAACTCCTATTTCCAATCTTCTATTTAGAAAGTGTTAAGTGTAAGATTAAAGCTTATATAATTCTTACGAGCAGTCCTTTTTTAAAAATTATTTTTCAACTACAGTTGACATACATTATTATATTAGTTTCAGGTGTACACCCAATTAATTAGACATCCCCATAAACCTCGATCCCATCTGACAACCGTACAGTTATTAGCATATCACTGACTATATTCCCTATGCTGTACATTACATCCTCATTAGGCTCAATCTTTTAACAACCACTTAGGGATTCCTACAAATGGAACTGATGTTGGTCATGTATTGGTGACAAGGACCTAATAATAATCAATGAAGACTTACAGAAAATCTTATTTTTTGTTCAAAAATGTCATGTAGAGATCACCACAAAATTTCTGAAGCATCATTTGCTCAAGGGATGAAGATGAGTGCCCCAAAAGTAGACAGAAATGAATGGGCATACTTACCTTGCTGGAGAATGGTACCGTCTGCATTAACTGGCTGATAAACGATGGTTTGCCCTTCAGCAGTCTGTGCCACTTGCTGCCCCTGGACAGCAATTTGCTGCTGCGTCTGTAGGAAAGAAATTATAACACAATATAAGAGATTCTAAAATACCACAAAGGGTCATGTAGTGTTTTTCTCTTTTTAAAAATCCTCATCCCAGGATGTGTCTTGATTGATTTTAGAGAGGAAGGGAGAGAGAAACACTGATGTGAAAGAAACATCAATTGGTTGTTTGCCTCCTGTATGCATCCTGGCTGGGGATCGAACCTGAAACCCAGGTATGTGCTCTGATCAGAAATCAAACCTGCAACCTTTTGGTGTACAGGACAGTGCTCTAACCAATGGAGTTACCTGGCCAAGGCTAGTCTTTTTCTTTAAAAAAAATGATAGTTTTCTAACTCATTTCTACTACATGTGAAATATATGGCTCAGCTGTCTGACCCTTCTAAATCAGCCGTGCTGTGTTCAGAGCTAGTGGAATTACCTGGGTCTGGCCAGCAGTAACGGCTGTCTGGGGCTGCTGGATGATGATCTGCTGCGTTTGGCCCTGCTGGCCCTGCACCTGCACAGCCTGCCCACCCTGGATCTGGATCTGTCCAGGTGGGACCAACTGTATCTGTAGAAGACAATACAAAGAACGGTTAGTATCCTGCAGACATTGGTATCTTTTGGTCCTGGAGTATTAGTTACCCACATTCCTCTAGAAAGTGGAAAATGCTGTGAAGAGAAAAAAACAATAAAACGGAAGTCCTCTTCTGCTTTTTTTGTCTGTTAATCCTCACCCAAACGATATTTTTCCACTGACTTTTAGAGAGTGGAAGGAAGGGGGAGAGACAGAGAAACATCATCGATTGGTTGCCTCCCACACACGCCCCAACCAAGGCCAAGGGATCAAGCCTGCAACCGAGGTATATGCCCTTGACCAGAATCGAATCCGGGACCCTTCAGTCCTTGAGCCAACGCTCTACCCACTGAGTCAAACCAGTTAGGGACTGTTTGGCTATTATTTGTGAGTGATAATTTGTTTTCCACTTATGAAACAATGGGGAATTCTGACTACTGTCTTGATACTGGGTATTATAGTAACAATGTCAGTTTTTTAAAGATGATAGTGCTGGCACGGTCACATTATTTTTAAAGCATTTTTTACAGATGAAATGACATTTTATATATTTAAAATAATTCTTGAGAGAGTAGGTAAATACAGATGAAACTAGGAAGACTGATTATATGCTGATAAATGTTGAAGATGGGTGTGGTGATTTATCAAAGTTTTCTCTTTTTTGTCTATGTTTGAAGTTTTCTATAAGAAAATGTTGGGGGTGGATATAAGTTATTTCCTCCAATTTTTCCAACTCTAAGCTGGAATTGTATAAAAATGTATAAAAAGTCCTTAAACACAGAAAAATTGAGACTAACTTATCAGACACACCTGCAGTCAATACTCAGATTTAACAAGTTAGTATTCTGCCATATTTGCTTCATTTAACCTTCCCAACTAAAAGGTAACCACTATATTAAAACGGGTTGATACTCCTTAAAGAGCATATTTTATACATGTATATTCATAAAAATATATGGTGCTGCTTTATAAGTTTATAAATTTTATATAAATGACACCATATTGTATCTTTTTTAGTTAACATTGTTTTCAAGATACAGCCAGTTAAAATAGAACTAGTTCATTTGCTTTGTTTGCATGAAGTATCACACTACAGAATTATACTACGGCTCATCCATCCATTCAGTTAACGTTTGGATTTGGCACTACCCATGGTTTGTGGCGTCTGGTAGGGTTCTTGGAACATATTCCCCACGAATAAGGAGGGGACTACTCTAGTCAAATCAAATTTTTTAAAATGTCTTTAAGAAATCCTTCTCCACCCACTGCATAAAGAAAATTCTCCTGTAAAGAGAATCTCAGGTTTCCCAGTATGCTTTTTTACATTTAGATCTTTAACAAGTATTTTGTATATAGTATGAGGTAGAGATTTTCTGTATCATTTTTAATTAAAGTTTAGTTGATATACACTATATTAGCTTCATGTGTACAACATAGTGCACATACACTGTCACTATAAGTCAGTCTAATAACCATCTGTCACCATAAAGTTATTACAATATTATTGATTAGATTTTCTGTCATACATTACATCACCAAGACTTATTTTATAACTAGAAGTGTGTACTCTCAATCCTCTTCACTTTTTTTATCCTTCCCCTGCCACCTTCACCTGTAACAATCATCTCTTGTTCTCTGTATCTATGAGTCTGTTTCTGTTTGTTAGATTTCACATATAATTGAAATTATATATTTGTCCTTCTCTGTCTGACTTACTTCACGTAACATAATACCCTTTAGGTCCATCCACGTTATATATCTATTTCATTCTTAAACAATTTATTCACTGCTATTTTGTACTATTTTTGTTATATACCAACTTCCACTATTCTTGACTCTCTAGTCCAGTTCCATTGTCTATATTAAGCCAGGGATCCTAACCTAAAATTATATGCAAAATGTTCCATTTATCTGGACATCTACACCTTTTCTAAGAAGAGGGAATAGGATCTCACTGGAATTCTAAAATAGAGGATCCAATATAATAAAGAGTAAGAAGTACTCTTCTAAAAAAGAATTGAAATTTTATGCATCCTAAGAAAGGCTACGGGATCTTACCTAGAGCTTTGTATATGTTAACAGAAAAGAATTTTTCTAGGATGGTTTGATTCAGGGGTCCTCAAACTACGGCCCGTGAGCCACATGCAAATACAAATATTGTATTTGTTCCTGTTTTGTTTTTTTACTTCAAAATAAGATATGTGCAGTGTGCATAGGAATTTGTTCGTAGTTTTTTTAAAAACTATAGTCTGGCCCTCCAACGGTCTGAGGGACAGTGAACTGGCCCCCTGTTTAAAAAGTTTGAGGACCCCTGATTTGATTAGTTACATACAGTCCTGCTTGGAGGGAGGAGAATGAGATAACCCTGTCAGACACTCTTAAAAGTAGGTAAATAAATGAATATAATAAAAGCATAGAATTTAGAACTGGAATGAACCTTAGAAATCACCTGATAGAAAATGCACTTTCTGATGAGAAAACTGACATACGAAAGCTTGCTTAATGGCAGACCTGGGAATGAAAAGTCAGATCACTGCATGCCCCGCACACTGCTCCTAACACTGTATCACACGGTCTCCATTCAGGAGTGGAAAAGAAGTTGTGGCAAGGGGATGAAGAGGAGGCAATAGAAGGACAGAAATGAAATAGTGTAAAAAAGAGTTAAAGTACACATACTGAAAATATATTTAAAGCCTCATACATTTATTCATGAAGAAATGTGGAAACTATTTTTAATCCTAACTACAACTCTATTGTGGCAAAAATATGCCAATAGTTTTAAAAATGTTACTATTCCTTCGCCAAGCAATTTCCCTACTCCAAAGAAACTACCCTAAGAATTCAATGAAAATAAAACTATCATGCTCAAATAAATTTATAGTAATCTTACCTATAATAGCAAAAATAAAATAAAGTAGGCAGGGCGGAGGTTGGCCGATTGATGTCTCTCACATCAATGTCTCTCTCTCTCTCTGTCTTTCTCTGTCCCTCTCTCTCATATTCCCTCCCTCCCTCCCTTCCACTCTCTCTAAAAGTCAATGGACAAAATAACCTCAGGTGAAGATTTAAAAAACAAAACAAAACAAAACAAAAAAACAAAGTAATGTGAAGAAATTAGAAGTCAGATTTATCAAGCAGTGTGATCAGGGCTTTTTTCAACGTGTATTAAATTCCTACAGAGAAACTAAGACACCAATGAGATCACTTTAACTATTAAAACAAAATCTATATAGTAAGAAATTAATAGTTCTTCCTCATTCCCATTTCCATGTTAACAAACACATATATTACATAGGGGTTTGGCCACTAATTACAAAGATAATATCACATAGTATATGTTTCCCTGCAAATTATTTTTCACCAGAAGTACGTCAGTATTAACCACCATCCCATGTCAATAGTTTATCCTTTTTAACAACATAATATTCCACATATGAACATCGTATGACTTATTCAACCACTTCCTTATTCTTATAAATAGGCATTCAGGTTACAATACAGCTCTTTTGGTAGCACAATGCTGCAGTAAATGTATTTGTACATTTCTCCCTATTTATCAATGCTTTTCATCCTATAGGATTCTCAAAAGTGGGATAGGTTTATGTATTTAAGAGTAAGATGCCTTCCAAAATGACTTCAGAATTTGAAATTACCTAAGTAATGAGTGTATCCTTTCCTCCACACATTGTAGAACTGGATATAATAATTCTTTTTAATTTTTGCCAAATTGATAAAACTCCCTCTACTTTTAATATTTGCATGTAATATCCAGAGTTGCATGTAACAACATCCTACCTATTTCTGTTAATCTCTTCTACATTTTTTTTCTGTTTTGGAATCAGTCTTTCCAGTGGATTTATCTATTTTATTGATCTCTTTAAGAATCAGCTTTTATTTACCCTTTCTACATTTTTGTTAGTTTTATTCTTCACTAATTTTAACCTACTTTTTGCTCATTTTGTTCTTTTCCTAAGTTCCTATGAGAAATATTATTAATTTATTTTCAGTTAAAAAAAAAGGCTATTAAGTTTTGCTCCAAATACAGTGTAAGGTGTTTCTGATGTGTATGGACCGAAATATCTTTTCTTCATTACTTGCTAGATGATTCAAATTATTAATTACATGGAAAGAAATGAAAAGGATAGCATTTCTGAGCAAAAACAAGAATCCCCAAAGCAGATTATAAATTTCCTCCCTTACTGACATAAAATGCTAACAAAGCTCACTCAATGAATTACTTCTATAAAACTAGATTCCCATCCCTCCATGTTCTTTACATTGATTCAAAAATCATGCCTAATTACTCCTTACCAGAGACGTACAATTTCTGTCTAGTTCTGCTTTATCACTGGTACTACAAAGGTGGACTATGACTAAATGCAAAGAGAGGGTAGGAAGCAATTAAATGCAACAATATCAACTGTCAAATAGCTTGTAATAACTATTCTATAAAAACCTCTACTCTGACATTCTGTCTAAATACTTTTTCATACCACTCACCTGCTGCAAACCCTGGGACCCAGATACAGGTACTTGCATGATGGTTTGACCTTGTCCACCAGGGACAGCCTGGACCATGATGGGTTGGCCAGTTGATGTGATTAACTGGCCTCCACTGACCTGCACCATTAATGGCTGCCCCTGGACCTAAAATGAAATAAAGTAAGTACAATGAAATAACATAAGACACAAAATGGTTTTTACTAAAAGATAATTACTGGAACTATTTTGCTGCCTTGCTAGAGGGGGGAAAAGCAGGAGAGACCCCATGATAATAAGTCTCAAGTCCTATGTTCTTCAAGTATCTTTGGTATTTTTGACTAAAGGCCAAGTTGAATACTTTAAAGTCAGATACAATGGAGTATATCCAGGCTTTGGGAAGTCTCAATAGATATAAGGCACTTATCACCAAATATACGCTAACTCCATAAGAAGCATTTAAACAAAATGTCAAGACTATTTGCCTTTTTAGACTAATATCCAGGAATGATCTCTAGTGAGGGCTGAAGAGGAGGCAATGAGAAGGGTAGCTAATGGCAGTGATGATGTTTAAATGCAAATTCTAAATAACCTGGAGGGAGTAATCAAATTACCTAGCAATACAGGAGGATGGGTAGCAAGCCACTCTGTAATTTTATGTAGAACACCCTTTCTCAAGCATAAATAAAATGTACATATTTTATCCTCTTCACCTTATATTTCTGGGAATTCTAGTCTGGTTGTCGTAGAAAAGATCCCATGACTAAAAACTGCCTAGAAATATTTTCTGATCTGTTTGTAGTATCTGCGATGGAATTCCTCGCACTGGGCCCTGCAATACCTGCAGTTATTTTAATTTTAACAGAAGCAATGACAAATATGGAAATTATACAAAGCACTCAAGCATATAAAACAAATTCCAACTTTTGAAGCTCCCATGAATAAACAGAAAACTCTAGAAGGCAGCCATTATAAATGCTCTGTTGTACCATTTTGAGTCCCAATAAAAAATACCTAGCTAAGAGAATGCTTTCTAGAAGCCAAAAAATAAGCCACTTAAAAAGTGAAATGGAGTGAATGTTCAACAGAATAGCTAAAAGTCAAAAACTCATTTTCAGATTCTATCTTTGAGGAATTTCTTATAATATTACAAAAGAATATTTGTAGGACTTAAAATAGTCATTCTTAATGCCAGTGAAAAAATGTTCAAATGAAATTATCAATCAGACCTAGAGGAGTAAATTCGATATTAAACACCCCATCCCAAGAGTTCCAGAATCTTTAGAAATATTCGAAATCCTAGTTTTGTGAAACTGCTCATTGAGAAATTCCAGATTAATATTAAGAAGTTTACAATCTGATTCTCCTGCTTTCTCCTTCCCTTACTTCCCCACCCCGAATCAAATCCCCCGTTACACCAATGTCTGCATATGTTCTAGCAGGAAAAGATTTTTTTCAGAATATTTATTGCATGAATAACTAAAAGAACAATTTAAAGTTTTCCAAAATAATGAGACCTTTAAGGAATAGTTTCTATTATTTCCATAAACTGTCTCCGCTTCTTTTAAATAAAATCTACATATGTAGGGAATACAAGTTTTAAGGTGTAACTATTAATTTTCTAGATCTCTGTCATCTTAACTTCTCCCCTTGTTGACATGCTGTAAATGCACATAATAAACCATTTGAGACTCCAAGAAGCCCATTTGTATTTACAACATACGAATGATTGCAAGGATACATGCATCAGACAAAAAGCCATACAGTTAAGAGCATGTTACATTCCCATTCCACAAGTGGTTAATGACAATATTATTTCATACATCAGTAAGATGAAGTAAGCATGAAAACATAAATACAAGCTGCTGAACTGTGAGATTTATAGTTTGGGAGAACCTACAAGTTCTTGTTCTTTCAGGCTAATTTACGTTCAGAATTGGCATCATCAAACACTGTGGGTGACACATGTGGGGGTGGGGCTGAATCGGTAAAGTAAAATGATTACAATAAGGGGTAGTTAACTGCAGGATGTTTAGCGGTTCTACATTCTAGGTCCTATTTTGAACTATTTCCATTTAGTGGACGAAAAAAGATAGGGCACCAAAGTCTTACCAGTTTCTCAAAAATACAGTCATTTTAGTCAAAGTAACCTACAGACACAGAAAAGACTAATGCTCCTGCTCCTGATCTTATTTTGGAGCTGGCCAAAATATCACGCCAAGTTTGGATATTTAACTTAGCCAACATGTTAGGGAACTGCATTGGTTAAGTAAGAATTCTTATCGTGGCTATAACACCTAAAACCTATAGAAAGTATCTATCCCAGGTATGTCCAATCTAGAGGTATGGGATAATCTTTGCAGATCTGATTAAAAAAAAAAAAACAGGTCATTATTTTCCCAGAAAATAGCAGAGGCAGCAGTTAAGAGATTAACAAGATTTAGTGATTAGATAAAACTTGCCAAGTACAATTATTACTTTGCACCTGATTTACCCTTTTAATAAAAACAATCTATCCTAGCTAATGTGCACATATTCTCTCCTCTACTATTATAGTAAAGTTCATGAAATTTTATCTTGCAATCTGACACAGAGTTTGAATTCTAAATAGGTTTTGATGTCACTTGTAAGAATTTCTTCCTATCCCTTATGACAATTCTTTCCAAGGCATTCCCAAAGAAACGTACTAGCCAAATGCTGTTTTCAGAAAATTCACCCTGCAGTCACTACATGACTTGGCATGAAACATTAGAAAACCGGCATGGTATAAGTCTCAAAGACAAGTTAGCATCAAAAACATGCAACTGACTTTGACATTTCTCCTTGAGATCCTACCACAAACAGCACCAGACATGAGGAAAGGAGAAGTTCATGCAGTGCTTACAGAGAGTCAGAGAGGGCACCACTACCTGGAGGGTCTGGACTTGCTGGCCTGAGGCAGATGCCACCTGGGCCTCAGTCTGCAACTGGACAGCAGTGACACCACCCTGCTGCTGAGAACAGGAACAGGAAGAGCTTGAAACGTGTCAGGAATAAAATGTATGGTTCAAGGCATGAGATCACCTTACCTCTTATAGGGGAGGGAGAGATGTCTTTCAACAGCCCCACCCTACACAGAACTTTCAAACTGTACAGACTCCCTACCCTGAAGCTGTTTGGTTGAAGGTAGCAGGACTGAAGGTATTAGCCCTTTGTCCCCAGAGTGGAACTCAAAACACACTCCCATGACTCAAAAATGTCAGGACAGTTGTTATCGTTAAAACAGAATTTGTTAATGCAGTCCTTCCCTCCAGAAATAGGTATTTGATTCTTTTGCTTACAATGTTATTTTAATGTGTGTGTGTGTGTGTGTTTTTATTTCCCCAAACGAGTTCACAAGAACAAAGGTCTTAACAACCTTGAAGCTACAATGAAAAATTTCTGGGGCTTAAATGCAATCATCAGAAAGGAAGAAAAAAAGCAATCACTGTGAATCAAAATCATTTTCATGAGGTTACTGTTCCCATGTCCCCAAACTAGGATTACTTCTACTCAATTGGGCTACCTTAGAAGCAATTTCAACCTAATTTTTATGTTCTGTGATGGCAAGTTCTGACAGAACAAAAATTCACCCACCAGGGCATGGGTGAGAACGAAGGGCCCTTCATGGATTCCCCTTTACAAAAAAGGCAGGTGAAGGGAACTGCCAGAGCCACAGCAGCTATATGGAAGGAAAGATGAGTAAAGGAGTTTAAATAACTTCTCTATTAACGAAGAGTAGCTCTGTCTCTTGATCATTAGATAGAACTCACCATCAAATTTTCCTTTTCCCTCCCTACAAACTACTTTTCTATATTATCTAAGATCCATTTTAGAAACAAAATACTCCTAATCTTGGCCTAAGGTTAAATTGATACATGGTAATTTCTCCTATGGAGAAAAACAAGAGAAGTTTCACTAAAATAAAGCCACCTATAAAGCATCGGAAAATGTAAGCTGTGTATAAATTCAAGAAAGTAACCCATCTAATTAGGGGATTGCTTTCTAATATGTGTTTATCCAGAAGAATGGCTGTCTATTATCCTCATGGTAAACTAGAACTTTTCAGAATAAGCACTGTAGTGGATCAAGTCAAAGAGCAGTAGACTTCTTAGACGCTGACTATCTTGATTTGTGTATTGTGGCCAATACCTTAGTAGATCACACACTAGCTTAATCAGGTAGAAAAACAACCAAATTGAATCCAGAGAAAACAAAAACTTCAAATTTCCTCTGAAAACAGACTAGGTGTTTTGACTTTTAATAAGATAAAAAGGGGCAATTTAAGCCAGGCCAGGCCAGTGTGACTCTGTTTGAGCTTCAACCCATGAACCAGGAAGTAACCAGTTTGATTCCCGGACTCTGTCCTTGGTGGGGGACCTTTGGGAGGCAACCAATGGATGTGTCTCTCTCATTGATGTTTCTATGTCTCTAACCCTCTCATTCCTCTCTCTAAAATCAATAAAAACATTAAACCAGGCTCTCAGGAAGATCAAATTCTCAGTGGTCACAGGCTGGATACAGAGTTCTGAACATGGAAAACAGCAGAGAAATCACAAGTTTAATCTTCAAAAGCACTTCGTTAGCACAAGTCATTAGACCCATTCTTTATAAGATCTGGGGTCTCTAAAATAATTCCCCAATTGAGTAGTGCTGTTATCAGCTCCATTGCTGTGACATTTAAAGCAGTTTTACTTCCATACCTGCTGCTGAATCGGTCCAGCCTGTACAACAATCTGCTCTGTTGAACTATTGCTGTTCGCTGTATACTGCTCCATGGTCCCTCCAAGTTAGAATCCTGTACACAGGGAACTTCACTCCGGAGGTTATAGAAGACTGTGAGATGCACTCCTATTAAAAATGTTGGGAAAAAAACAAGAGTAGAGATTGTTATTACACTATGCCAGATGATTAACTTTGAGACTTATCACTGTATTTGTAAGAAAGCAGCATGAGAAAATAGAAAATGTTTATGCAGTGTCATTTTTAACTAGGGTTACATGGTACAATTATGACAATATCATAATTCTATTTCATGTTTTAAAAATGCTTTTTGTCATTTCACTGGCAATCTTTTTTTAAAATATATTTTATTGATTTTTTACAGAGAGGAAGGGAGAGAGATAGAGAGTTAGAAACATCGATGAGAGAGAAACATTGATCAGCTGCCTCCTGCACACCTCCCACTGGGGATGTGCGCGCAACCTAGGTACATGCCCTTGCCCGGAATCGAACCTGGGACCTTTCAGTTCGCAAGCCGACGCTCTATCCACTGAGCCAAACCGGTTTCGGCATTTCACTGGCAATCTTACCTTTCAATAATAAAAAAGCAAAACCTGTACCTTAGAAATACTCATGAGTTATAATATCACTTTGTCACAGGCTTATAAGTCTGCGCATGTACTTTAGAGAAGAAACAGTTCTTTAATTTATAACACGTGTTGCAAGCCAAACATGTTACTCTAGTTCCCTACATATTTAAAACTTCAGGGTTTATTATTTAGTAAGTAAATTAACCAGACCTGAGGCCAAACATTTATTTTTCTTATCAAAATCTCCATTAAGTTGCGCCAAGTAAGAAAGCCCTAGCAAAGATTTAGGAGTTTTCATTTTAATCCAGAGCAAGAAATAAAAATGAATTATAACTAATGCCAAAAATAATTCTTTACAGATTAGATATAAGGAAAATTTTTAAATGGCTATGGTTTTCTCTAAAAAGACCGTAAGTTTTTTCTAGTCTTGAATTTGAATGCCTAATAACATGCCACCCTTTATTGTATCATTTTAACTTATTATGGGAATTTTCAAATATATTCAAAAGTAGTGAGAACATTATAATAAACCCCCATAGCCATAATCTAACTTCAACAATTCTCAACTCATAGTCAAACTTGTTTCACATATATCTCAACCACTTTCCACCATCCCCTGGATTATTTTGAAGCAAATCCCAGACACCATATTATTCCCCAAATCCATAAACACTTTAGCATCTATCTCTAAAGAGACTCTTTTCTCTTTATCATTTTATAAAAATGATATTGTCTCTACTATGTCATTCAAACATTAAAAAATAAATAAGTCTGTAATATCATCAAATAGCTAGTCCATGTCCAAATTTACCATTCTCATATACTTTAACAGTTGAAATAAGGACACAATTAGGTAAATTGAAGTGATATTTGAGAACCACGAATAAAGACTTGATTAAAAAATTTAAGGTAAATTTTCCTTGGAAATACGGGGGAGGCACAGGTATATAAACAAAATGCAGATAAATCTTTTTTCTCTATTTTTCTTTAGGCCTTCATAAATCTTAAAAAGTGAGTAAGATTATATGTGAGAGAACTAAACTGCACATTTTAACAGCAAAGCAAGGCACCACTCTCTATTAATCCACACATAATGGACGAGATCACTTGCAAGGTGTCTCAATATTTTGTGAAAGAAATATATTCAAGTGCATATCTAAGTATTTAGAAAGAAGTGTATTGATGGCAAAAATTTACTTTGAAATGCATCAAAAAATAAGACTGATGGATGAATAAGACAAGTACGGTACAATGTTAATGGTAGACTCTAGGTAGTGAGTACACATGTGTTTATTGTAAAGTTCTTTTAATTTTACTGTGAGTTTGAACATTTTTATACTAAAATGTTTAAAGAAAAAAATCTTAACAAAAATTAAGCTTATCACTCATAATCAAAATGGTATATAGTATAGAAGAGCCATAAAGGATAGGATGACTGTGTCATCACAGCATCCTGTACCAGGTCATACAGTTCTCCAACTCACTACCATTGCTCTAATGAAATACTCACCAAGCAAATATGTAGTTTTAATTTGGATTTACATATAGATTAGCCAATAAGGAGTATATATAATCAGCAACACAAGTAAACTTGAGAGCTATTTTCTCATTACCCACTGACAAAATGGCACTCTGATCTCTACATCAGTCTCTTCTGAATTGGTTGACTGAGTCAGCTCTAAAGAGACACTGGGAACAGTATAGAAAAATCGGGTTTTCGACCAGGCTAAGTGGCTCTGCCAGGGAAGTAAACCATCTCCCTAAACTCTATCTTGTTTCTAACTGCAGTGCACACAATAGGACTAAAGAATTAAGTCATGATACAAAAGCGTAGATGTGATTTCATTTATTTAAACCCTGAAAGGACAATAGTAATCGAGAGATAGAAAGTAGACCAATGGTTCCCTGGGACTGGAGGAGGTGGTGAGGGTAAGAGAAGAAGGGGAAAGTGGGAGGTTGATTGGATAGAGCGCTTGGACCTTTTTGGAGTGATGAAAATGTGTTGTTGTTCAATTGGTTACCTGCTGCATGCACCATGACCAGGACCTAGGGATTGAAACTGCAACCCAGATATGTGCCCTTGACCAGGAACCGGACCCACGACCCTTTGGTCCTAGGGCTGACACTCTTTAACCACTGAGCATATCAGCCAGGGTATGATGAAAATGTTGTATATCCTCGCTGTGGTGGTAGTTACATAAGTGTATAAATTTGTCAAAATTCATCCAAACGTAAATTTAAAATAATTACCCTTTGTATCTAAACTGTTTATCTCAAAGTTAATTAATAAAGTTGAAACTTTATTAAAGTTTTAATTTGGAGCAGTTGTGTTATGGAATAAATTAGTTAAGAAAATCTGCATGACCTATTTATTAGTAATTCATATGCTATTTGAGTAAGATGCTATTCACTGAGCTGCTCCAAATTAAAATAAAGAAACACTTGCCCTAACCGGTTTGGCTCAGTGAATAGAGCGTTGGCCTGCAGACTGTGGGGTCCTGGGTTAGATTCTGGTCAGTACCTTGGTTGCGAGCACATCCCCAGTGGGGGAATGTGCAAGAGGCAGCTGATCGATGTTTTTGACTCTCTATCCCTCTCCCTTCCTCTCTGTAAAAAAAATTAATAAAGTATATTTTTTTAAAAAAAAGAAAAAAAACACTCAAACCTGTGAGGAATTTTTGTGAGTTTATTTGAGCCCAAACTGTCAACAATTGCCAGGAAGCAGAATCTCAAGGGACTGAGATAATGATCCGGAGAATGGTAGTTTTGCACCTTATTTTACATTATAATCAAAAGAGGAGACTTATGTGTGTTACATGAAATCCATTGGTGCTAGATTAGGGAGGCGGGAGAAAGCCAAGAGGGGAAACCCCTGGGACAGGGAAAAAGAGTAAAATGACTGACACATACTTCTTTTACATAGGTGGTGCGGGATGGTTAACAGTCAACAATTAACTCAGTGACACTGAGGGGACGTATGGTCTCTGCAGAGCGGTGCCTGTGCTTTGAGGGGTCCGGAAAAGGGAGAATTACTTTGACATCCAAAGATGTTACCGTAGATGCAGTAAGACAATAGGCTCGGTTAAGGTAAAGATTGACCTTTTTCAGGGAAGATACTGGCCTAGGACATGACTACCCACCACAAACTGCTCTTAGTTAAAAAAGTTTTAATTTTAGACCATTCTTTGTGCTTACTTTAGTTCTCTGGGTTTGCAAGGCTGCCATGCAGACTTTCACTGAGCTGGTCAGGTTAGCATGTGACTCCTTTTCGTCCACAGTATCAAGAAGAACTGTCCTCTACGTTTCCACACCTCCCCTAACCCAAATCCCCTTATTGTATGAGATTCTTTTCTTGACCACTAATTTCCAGAAATTTGCATCTTACTCAAATAGCGTATGAATTACTAATAAATAGGTCATGCAGATTTTCTTAACTAATTTATTCCATAACACAACTGCTCCAAATTAAAAACATTTAAATCTACTCTACTCTGAAGGGTAAAAAAAGAGCAGTTTCAAATCTAATAGCAATCCTTTCTCATATTAATGTGAAAGTGACTCATTCTGGAACATGATATTGAGATTGCTAATGGTGAATTCAGTAACACCACTAGCTTCAGTGAAGCCATATGCTCTACTGCTGTGAGCTTCAGTTAGCAGAACTGTTACAGGCAGTTAGACAGACAGGATCAGAGCAGGGACAAAGGGCTAGTACAGAAACTCCTGAGGGCAGAGAGCCCTGGATGCCTGCAAGGGGCAAAACTGGGAAAACAAAGAATCTCACCCCCAGGGTAACCTTTCCTTCCCTGACTTTTCATACCTCTAGTTATGTGGTTTAGACTCCTGACTTTTTCCTCCCTAAAGATAGCATCTAGGCTTCTGCTGTATTTCCGCTTCAGGCCCAGAAAAGCAGCAAAACCAGACAAGCATGCCATGGCAGCCTCAGGACCAGCTGTACTGACAGTGGAGACCAGGACCATGAAAGAGCACACCTGGAGAACAGTGAGACCCTCCCCTGAGATTCCCACCTGCAAGAGAGAGTGAAATACCCTCAACACAAAGGATCCAGTGCCTGCTTGCCCCCAGGGCAGCACACCCCCACCATTATTCCCTGACCCTCTTCTTTCTTCTAAGGGACCCAGTAAGACATGCAACCAGGGGAGCAATGAGCAGCAGCAGCTTGTCCCAGGCTCAGCCCCCCAAACCTGTCTCCGAGGCCCCCTTTTCTCTGACTTCTCCGTGGGCCAAAGCAGCGCAGCCTGGGCTCCTGTTACTTCTTCCATGCCCTTCCTTGACTCACTGTCCTAAGTGTGTTTTTGCTGGCTTTGTTGCACTTTGTCTCTTGATAGAAATCTTTCCTTCAAGAAGACAAGAACCAAGATCTAGTCCTCTCACCAGTAACAGAACTGTAATAAACCTGACATTGTCTTTCCTCAAGTGCTACTTTACCCAAGATTCTGACAAAATTAAGTCAGCCAGATTTAGTCTGTCTAGCTCTTGTTTCTAACTCAAAGTTTTGAATGTTTTTCCTCAGAGAGTGTGTGTTTATCCTGGCTAGCATGAAAATTCTCTTCTTTCCACTTCAAGGCACAGAACCTGAAATGTAGCTAATTACTAGGAATATGTGGACCCACACATATTTTTAAAGCTTAAACTTCTAGAGTCAACTGTAAGCATGTAAAAGCCCTCAAAATTATCATATTTGACAATCACCAGCAGGAAAAGTCTAGAATAGAAGCTTTCAAACTTCTTTGACCACAATTCATAGTAAGAAACACATTTCCTATCAAACATTAAAAAAGTAACTGAAACAGAAGTTTCATGAATACTTATCTTTTATATATATCACCCCCTGCCCCCCGACAGAGGAAGCGCTGGGCTTGGAGCCCGTACGCGACTGGCATTCGCCCCGAAGCCCCACAGAACCTTAGTGTTCTGCTCTTGGCTGCCTCCTGCACGCCCCCCACTGGGAATCTGAGCCAGCAATCTAGGCAAGTGCCCCGACCAGGAATTGAATTGTGACCTCCTGGTTCATAGGTCAGTGATCAACCACTGAGCCATGCTGGTCAGGTGATGAATACTTATCTTTTATAACATAAAATATACACTTTGATATTTTCTATTTTATTATAAAAATCACCAGCATTAGCCCACTAAATTGATTTTACAACTAAATAACTGGGTCCTGGTTCTTTGATGAAAGACTAGAACTAACAGCTGTCCCGCTTCCTTAATGTTCTGTTCAAGAGGTTTCAGGATTGGAGCTTCGAATTTGCTCCTTTTCTCCACTAATGATGTATCATGTCCCCGACACTGTCTTAAAGGTTTTAGAAAAAGAAACTCTGACAAAGATTCTAACTTCAAAGAGTCTTTAAGTTTAGTAAAGGAGTAAAAATCTGTACTGGAATCTAAGAGAAACAAAGTAATAAGGCAATCTGGAGGAGAGATTTCTTCTACTGGGGATAGACAAATCAAGGAATACTTTAGGAAAACGTGGCATCTGACCTGGTGGTAAGTGCAAGCAAGATTTATATGTGATGATGTGGGAAGGGGTTGAGTACTCCAAATGAACAACCAACATAGTAACAAGGACACAAATTTCAGCATATGAACAGCAGACTGAAAGGCCCAAACCGCAAGGGAAAGATACTGTCTCTCAAAATTTTAAGTGCTTCTGTAGACAGGTGGGAGCTCCAGGTGTTCAGCAAAAAAGTAACCAGATTATACAAGGATCTGTGAGGTCCAAAAGATTGGCAACTGCTGTTTTAGAAAGTCTAGCCAAATGTTTGGTGGCTTTAAAGTGATCAGATAGCCGGGCAGCGAGGGCACATGCCTGGGTTTCGGGCTCCATCCCCAGTAGGGGGTGAGCAGGAGGCAGGCAATGGATGATTCTCCTCATTGATGATTCTATCTCTCTCCCTGAAGTCAATAAAAACATATTTTTAAAAAGTGGTATGTTTTAAAAAATATCTAAGACGCACTGCACATCTATTAATGTGGATAAGAATGAAACAACACTGGATTAGTTGTTTTCTGAAACCTACCGGTTGTATGACCTTAGTAAATGTGATTAGAAAAACGGGCATCATATACTGAAGGCCTACTGTGTGCTAGGGGCTGCACTAGGTGCTTCAATTATGTAAAAACTTTTATCAAGTCCTAGGGAAATCTCCCTTTCTCCCCCCAAAAAAGCTGCTGTTTTGGGACAGAACCCCGCAAGTCGGAACCTTGTTTTCCCAACCTTAGACCCTCACCACTACTGCCTACTCTGTCCCCCGCCCCTCTGACAGCATCTCGGTGCCCCTACCCCTCTCTTCGGTCAGAAGGAACCCCATCACCCCGAGGCCCAGCAAACGAGCGGCTACAGAAAGCTTCCAGGAGGCTGTGGGCAGCTCCCACATCACTGCTGCCTGCACAAAACGGAACCTGGCCCCGTTACATCACTGCCCTTAGGTATTGATCAGCTGTTCACCTGTCAATCTCCGCTAGGCAGAGCAGATTCTTATTCACATCTGCCCACTCCTTCCCCATCCGACATGCCGGTGCCCGGTACACACTACTAACTGTCCCATACTTGGTTGTCAAAAGAGAGGTCTTCTTACCCTAAAACCCAACAATACCTCCTGAAAAAAACACGTTAATATGGAATTGGAAAGTATATTAGAAAAAAATAAACCAAGAGTAGCTGTGGATTGAACGAAGACACGTTCAAAGTGACACGGAAAGGTGAAAGGAAAAGGAATGCACACTGTTAAGGGAGGACAAGTTCACGAGACAGAACTAAGTGTGAAAAGCAAGTTGTGCGGCCTCCGGGGAAAGAAATGCGAAGGGCGAGCCGTCTCCCGGGAGTGAGGCTCCCGGCACGGAGCGGGCCGGCCAGGAAAGGGGAACCCGCTTGGTCCGGCTCCAGGACTGAGGTGTGCGGTGCGGCCCCGGCGAGCGCGGCGGGGAGAGGAAATGACGAGCCAAAAGGGGGTGGTAA